CATTTATTTATCTGTATAGTATGCTTATACTACTATTTCCTGATGTTTTTAGTTTTAGACCTTATATATTGATCTCTCACCATGAGAATAAAGATGGAGCTGTACTCACTCTTTTACACCCTTACTACCACATACCCCCACACTTCCTATAGTCTACTCTCCCAATGTAGTTATAACTTTGGTTAGATCGGTATCCTGTGTTTACAGAATTGTGAGTGCATAAATACTATTTATAGCTGAAAATAGTATTGTGTTGTTCATTGATGTCTTTATTGTACAATAGTTCCCCCTTATCCACAGAGGATACATTGCAAGATGCCCAGTGGATGCATGAAATCACCAATAGTACTAAACCCTATACAGTATATATAATGTTTTTTCTTATACATACATACCAATGATAAATTTTAATTTGTAAATTAAGCACAGTAAGAGATGAATAGCAATATATAGCTAACAATAAAATTGGAGAATTAAGTAAAACAAAGGTTATTTGAACACAAGCACTGCAATACAGGGACAATCATTCTGAGAATTGAGACAGCTATTAAGTGACAAATGAATAGGTGGCATATCAGTGTGGAAACAGTGGATCATTCACATTTGGGTGGGACAGAGCAGGACAGCACTAGATTTCATCATGCCACTTAGAACACGGTGCAATTTAAGACATGAATTGTTTATTTCTGGAATTTTCCATTCGATATAGTATTTTTGGACTGCAGTTGACTGTGGGGAACTGAAATCTCAGATAAAAGGAGATTACTGTACTTCATAAAGTTAATGCTTGTTTTCTGTTTTTTTGTTTTGTTTTGTTTTTATGTATTTAGTACATAGAACTCGATCCTGAAACTCTCCCCTGTTTGTCTAAATCTGCTCTTAACACAGTCAAGCATCAAGTGTACCAATAGTTCTTTGGGAATTTTAGTTTTAGAACAAGTCATTATCACCATCATCCCTGAGGTTTCTATTCACTTCTTCCTTGTACTAGGCCTCCTGTTTCTTCAACCTTATAGCTGCCAGTTTAGTCAGTTTATTCCCTCCTTTTAGTAGAATGCTTCCACTCACAGTTTCCTGAGAATAGGAATGTGGGAAGTAAATTTTTTAAAAACTTCCGTATCCAAAAAGTCTTAATTCTATCCTCACATTTCATTGATAGTTTGATTAGTTATAGATTCCAGGTTACAAATTTTTTTTCTCAGAATTTCAAAGGCATTGTTCCATTCAATTCTAGCTTCCAGTATTGCTGTTGAGAAGTTCAATGCCATTCTGATTCCTAAAATTTTTAATAAGATTTTTTCATCCTGAAAATTTTAATATTTTTCTTCCAGTGTTGTGAAATTTCACAGTGGTGTGTGCCTTGTGGGTCTATTGTTATATATTAGGCTGGATATATCGTGTATCTTTCCATGTAGATACTTATGCACTTCAGTTTTAAGACATTCTCTTGACTTATTTCTTTGATGATTATTTTCTCTTGTTCTCTCTTCTTGAATCTCCTATTGTTCACTTATTGAGGTCTTTAATGTCTTTCAGTGAAGTTTAAAATTTTTCTTCATAAAGATTTTATGTATAATTTATTTTTTAATATTTTTTATTTTCATCAGATATATGTTACATATCTAAGATTTATCCATAAGTACTCTATTTTAGCTGCCATTATCATTTATATTTCTAAATTAAGGTTTCTGTTTATTGCTTATGTGTAACAAAAGGTAGTTGATTTTTATAATGTTCTTTTTTTTATCAGCAACTGCATCTGCAATAATATTCTTATATTTATCTACCTCCTAAACTCTCATAGTAATTCCAATAACTAATTCTAATATATATATTCACATTATCTGTGAATAATGGCTATTTCTTCCTTTACAATATTTACATCTTTTTTTGTTGTTCTGACTATGCTGACTAAAACCTCTAAAACTTTGTTCAGTAGAAACCGTGATAGTTGCTATACTTGTTTATTTCTGATGGTAAAGGAAATGCTTCTGACATTTCATGTTTATGTCATTTTCAATGGTGAAATATTAGAAACATTTCCTTTAGTGGGTCGAGGAAGATTCCTTCTGTTCCTAGTTTGATAACAGCTTTTAATCATGAATGAAGATTGAATGTTATGTTGTTCCACATATTAAGATATCTACATCTTAAATATATAGAATGTCCCTTTAATAAAATCTCATAATTCTATAGTTCAAAGATAAATTGTTTTACTGTTGTGACTATACTGCATATACATTGTATTATTTTTAAATATTAACATAGTCTTGGGAATATTTTATTATTTATTATTTTATTATTTATTATTTATATGCTGGAGTTTTCTACAAAAGCATAGCTTTGTCTCTCTCTTTTTTTTTTAAATTGAGACAGGGTCTTTGTTGCTCAGGCTGGAGTATAGTGTTGCAATCACAGCTCACTGCAGCCTTGAAACCCTCAGGCTCAAGTGATCCTCCTGTGTCAGCCTCCTAAGTAGCTGAGACAAGAGCTGTGCCACCATGCCTGACTAATTTTTAATTTTTTTGTAGAGACAGGATCTCCCTGTGTTGCCCAGGCTGGTCTCAAACTCCTAGCCTCAAGCAATCCTGCCACCTCAGCCTCCCAAAGTGCTGGGATTACAGATGTGAGCCACCGTGCTGGACAAAAGTGTGGCTTTTAATAATTGCAGTTTTTAATCTTATATATGTATCACACATATCCAAATTTGAGAGCACTAATGTTTTTAGTTTCAAATATGAATATAAATATGTATTCTTATTTCCAATTATTTCCTGAGCATGAATTCCTAGAAATTGATTTATTTAGTATAAGTTCTTTTTAAGTTATATGTCCACTAGTATGGTATGAGAATGCCCTGTTTATGCCAGCATTATCATCATTGGATATATTACTGCTGATGTTGTAGTAATACATTTAAATCAATGTGATGGGCAAAAGAATTATATTTTTATTTGCATCTTTAAAATTACAGGTTTGTTGTTGACAAACTGGGCATAAAAAAATTAATAAACATTGGTATTTATTGGCCATCTGCATCTTTTTCTTTTGTGAAATGATTTTCTCTTTTGTCTATATTTTGACATATATTTTATCTTTATTTATAAAGGTATTAACTCCAAATATATTTAACTTGGACCTAACCAATTCTGCCAGTTGTTTTCCTTTATGGTTTCTTTCATTCCTTTTATACTTAGAAAATTCTTTCTTAATTAGATAAATATTTATTTGTATTTTCTTGAAGGTGTGCAGGTTTTTTTAATTTTTTGGTTTTTGAGATAGAGTCTTGCTCTGTGGCCCAAGCTGGAGGGTACTGGTGTGATCTCGGCTCACTGCAACCTCCACCTCCTGGGTTCAAGTGATTCTCCTACCTCAGCCTCCCAAGTAGCTGGGATTATAGGTGCCCACCAGCACACCTAGCTAAACTTTTTATTTTCAGTAGAGAAGGGGTTTTTGCCATGTAGGCCAGGCTGGTCTCGAACTCCTGACCTCAAGTGATCTACCTGCCTCCCAAAGTACTGTAATTACAGGTGTGAGCCACCACCCCCAGCCAAAGGTGTGTGGTTTTAGTTTAGATTTTGACATATGTTTAAAAGTAGGAATAAAATTTTTTTTTTCCAAGTGTTTTAGCAATTGCCCCAATATCATTTATGAAATGGTCCTTTCTTTCCCACAGATTAAAAATGCCACTTACATTATGTGTTAAATCCTTAACCACATTAGAATTTATTTCTGGATTTTCTATTATGATCTATTTTGCCTATTACTGTGTCAGTATCATATAGTTTTAACTATTTAATATATAATTATAACATTTTAATAATCTCCTCTTTTTAAAACTTTTTTCTACTCTCATAACTACATTCTTCCAGATTTACTTTGTAATCACTTTTCCAAGTGCTAAAACAGACCTCTTGAAATGGTAATGGGATCCTTTAAAATGTTATCCATAGTTAGCCTTTCTAGCTAGGAAAGTGTTTTATCTTGCCTTTTCTTCAAATTTAAAAAAAAATGGTCTTCAATAAAGTTCTATCATTTCCTGCATATGCTTTCTGAATATATTTATGTTTAGTCCTTGGTATTTCACAAATTGGTGACCATTATGTTTTTTTCACTAATTTTTATGACCAAGTTTATATATATTTAAAAAAACATTAATTGTATAATTTTTATCAGACAACTTAGTGAATTCCTTTGTTTTCATTTCATTATCTTGAATTTTCTAGGAAAATAAAAGTGTCCTTTATAAAGAATAAACTTCTCTTCTTTCATATTAGTAGACCTTTTTCTGCTTCTTTTCATAGTAAACTAGCCAGAATTTTATTTCCCGGTGACAATTTAATATTTCTCTACAATAGAGGAAAACAGTCTCCTTATATCTGTATAGTACATATATTAGCTGTAATAAAATAAGAACTTCAGGGCATGCTATATAACCTGAAGAATGTAAGGAAATGGCACTCTTCCTATAAACAATCTTAGCAGAATGACAAAGAACATTGGTTGTGGTATGATGCTGCCCTCAAGTGGTTCCATCAAAAAGTGTGGATGGAAAACAAGACCACATAATTGACTTTAGATACCAGCCATTTAGTCCCAGAAATATCAGTATGAGGCTCTAGATAGGGAAGATGGCTGGAGGATCTGTGCTTAGAAGCAGAAGGTGGATATGGGATGTAAACTAATGCTGTCTGGGTTTTTACTATTAATGTGATTTCACTAATACTTACAGAATGAATTATACAAGTAAACAAACCATATTTAACTGTCTCAGATAAACCCTCCTTAGACATGGAATTAATTAATTTCCTTTGATGTGTCATGGGAAGCTTTCGGGCATGAGATTGTTGGGAACTTAAGTCAGATAAATAATATCTCTTAGGAGGCTAGTTCATACCACAAGTTTTCTTATGGCATATCAAGTTAGCACCAAGCAAAGGTATGTTCCCTAGCTGCCTGCATACCAATTATGTAGTTGACCATAGGAGACGTTAGTACCTGAAAACTCGATACTATTCTTTTCTCATGCCATCCTTCATCACTTAACTGAAAAGTCAATACCCAGAGCAAGAAACCATTACTATCCCTTCAGGATGGCTTTCTTTTTTGGGAGCTTGAGTTTTTGAGTACTTCTTCGTCTGAACTTATATTTTCCTTTTTCTCTTTCCACTCAGAAACTTATTGAAGAATTGCAGGCAAATTTTTAGTTCCTTCCTGTGACTTAGAAACTGTTAAAGCTGTTAGACAGCCAAGATTCTAAAGAAACCCAAACATGGCAGGGTGGAGACAGAGAGAAATTTATTCCAGAAATTGACTGTTAACAGTAGTGTTTCTTAATATATAAGATATATCATACTCCTTGAGTATGATTTTTTGCTATATAACTTTCACTGTAAATAATTCTATAGCAACCATGTATGAATAACTTAAGAATAATAGAATCAGTTAGTCTCATTTGTAGGCACTGCAAACCATCTCCATTCCCTCCATGTCAGATACTCTGGGGGATGAATTGGAGATATTAAGAGGTAAAATGACGCAGAGAAGACCAGGGCCAGCAGAAGTCAAATACTTTTATTTCTTTAAAATTTTGCTTAGGCTACTCCTGGCTATTTTGAAGCGTAAGTTTATAAGATATTTTCCTCCATTGATTAACCTTTATTGATAAAGTATTAGCCATTACAGCTCTTTTGGGATATGTGGCTACTCCTCAGTGTAGTAGACAATATTAAAATTTACTGTGCTTTTACCTATGTTCCAGTACTATGCTACATGCTTTATATGAGCAGTACGATGAAGAACTAGAGTTTAAATGTGATTGAAAAACCCAGTTGTATCTAATGACTGATTACATTAACTATCTAGATCCCTTTGGATAACTTTTAGTTTTTTTCTTATTCCTTTATGTTTGTTATTTCTTTTCAGGTTTATTTATTGATGATGAAGAAATACTTTTTGTAAGTAATAGAAATCACCTACCAACTTTGCATACTCTCTTGAGTAGACTAAAACTATTTTTGGTAAAGGATCCTCTTTTAGATTTCAAAGGACAGATCTTCACAGCAGCTAATTTTTTCAGGTACTTTCTTAATTGACCAATGCTGTAAATATTTTTAAGAGGTGAAAACGTTTTTGTGTGATCACAAACTTATGTTATCAATAATTTTTTAGCATTATTTTACCTCAACTTTAATTTTAATCATTACATGTTTCGGTTAGCTACATTTAGTGTGTGACTTGCTTTTAGTAAACACTAATTAATATTTTTTTAAGGGGATGTTTTTCTCTTCAAGAAGATTTGGAAGTTTTTGGGAAAGAAGATTTTTGTATGGACAAAGAGAACTTTTGTCAGGAGAAACTAGAAGATACAATACGTTCAAATAAGGTTGTAATATTTGCTTTCAATAATATTTTAATAAAAGTAGTGAGGCATACTTTTGTAAATTTTTATAATATACATTGACTGTCTACAATGATCAGATTAACATATTTGGTAATGGAATGAACATGTATCAATTAAGGAGTCAAAATTACTTCTAAATAGTGGTTCTCAGCCTTGGCTGTATGTTGGGATTATTTGAATAGTTTAAAAAAAATTGAAGCCTGAGTTCTACACAGACATATTCTGATTAATTGGTCTGGTGTACAGCCCAGGCATAGGGAACTTTAAAATCTCTTCCAATAATTCTAATCAATATACCTGGATATAAAACTAGACTAGTCATGTCTAGTTTAAAAATTGGACACTGGAACTAGAAATATTGATTTGTGAATGATACACAAAAAATAGTACTTGAGCTAATGAGAATATTGTGAGAGTAAGAATATAGATGGTCCAAGACTGAATTTCAGTTTTCTGCCAGTGTTTAACAAGGATGATATAACATCTTTTGTATATTAAATACCAAACTTCTAAAGATGCATTTAGTTTCAATAACACAAAATGATTATAATATTTAGTATGTAAAGAATTTTAGCAGTCGAGAGTGCAATAACGTTTTGCTGTTGAACAAACTCAGAAATCTAGGCCCATATAGATTAGATGTATTCACAAAATTACTTAAAAAACTTTTTTTAGGACAACTTAAAATGTTTTATATTTGGCAATTTTAATGGACTTAAAGCATTTAAGCGGTTTCCTTACAGTAAAAATTTGAACATCATGGTAAAAATATTAATTCACCTGTAGGCCCCATTCCTCCAGTATCTCTTGCTTCCCCTGTTAACTCTGAGAGTTGTGGGCTTAGTCTCTCTTGTTGAGGAGTCATCTATTGGAATGAAAGAGAAACATACTCTGTGGAGCATAGTAAAGATCTGTTCCATTCCATGATCTCATTTCACTTCTCTCCATTTATTATGTCTCATCTACTACAGTGACTGTTTTTAATTTAAAATATTTACAATTTGCTATTAGCCAAAAAGAAGCTAATTCTGCATCTAGGGGTGTTGTACATCACTAATGTAATGAGTGACCATAAAATACAATAGTCAGAGAGAACATTGCTTATAATAGAATGATTTTTAGTTGCTACATTTCTGTTTTTTAAAAGTATATATAGCTTTAACAATTTTGAATGCAGATTTAGTTTAAATTTTGGTACATCATTTAAGCAAATTTTGTCCACTTACAATTTCAAAAATATTTATTTGGAAAGCCTCCCTAAAAACTTTTTAAAACTATATGTTTTTTTTCAGCCATCACGTTTTCTTATTGAGTATGACTTCTTAATACCTCCAAGCCACAAACAAGAAATTGATATTCCATCACTCTCGGAACTGAAGGAATCGTTAAACCTAGTGCCAGAAATAATAACCTACGTCGATGAAATTGAAAAGCTTTTCAAAAGAGGTGAGAATTAATTTTAAAATGTATTACTTGTAAAAACCACTTAAGAATGTTTGTTACATAGGTTCTTATTTATTCAAATTTTTCTGAACCTCCAGATTTTGTAAAAAATGTTCTGCAAGTTACATGTTGAAATCTCAGTATTATTTTTGATGAGATTCTTTTCTCATTGTCATTCTCTTTATATGACTTTCAGGTTTAAAACTTCTCTGAAATTTAATCATTTCAAGATAATTATACAAATAAAACTAAAACACCTATGACTATACAAATTTTTTAAAGAATTGTTTTCTTATAAACAATGAAAACATTATCAATTTCTATACTGACATTAGTTAGCTATGGAGAGGCTCACAATAAAGAGCTCAGAGTGAGGATTTGTGGAGTCAGATGACTAGGAGAGTCAAAACTTAGAACTTAGATGGTTTCATCCCATTTAGTCTTAGTAAATACTATTGAGTTATTTTTAATGACAATATGACCCCAAATATTTAACTGCCCTCTCATAAATTCCATTTAAAATGATAAAATATATATAATATCATGGAGGAATGGAAGGGGGATCTGTGATATCCATTGAGAACAGGGCTGTTTGCCATGAACAGACCACAGACTTTAAGGAATTCTTACAGATAAGACTAAATCAGGGAATTACTGATCATCCTACAAATCAAAGCAAGAGAATAAAAAGCCAACCTGGGAAAGCAGATCAAATCCATACCAGAACTTGTAAATATAGTAGATCTCAAAATGCAGGGTGGGTCATGGACTTATTGGCAGGACACAAATCTCAGCTCCATAAATGCTAATGTAAAGGACAACAAATGACTTTATTGAGTGATTATACTGTTAAACTTCCCGCCTTCACTTGACTCAGATGCTGTACTAAGTAAAATGAAGTCATTGCCACAGAGGACTTCTAACAAATAAAGTTATACACACTATTGAAAGGTCAGGGGTAGGCAGTGTCCCAGGTACCTTTGGGTTGTGACAACAATAACAATAAAACTGCTTAGTATAGCAATAAATTTGCCTGCTACAGGGATTCCTCAAGGCATAGCTCCCTTCCTATTTCCCATGATCAAAGGGTAAGTAAAACTATAGATTTGCCTATTCTGAACATTTAATAAAAATTGAATCATATAATATGTGATCTGTGACTTATTTCACTTAGCATAATATTTTCAAGTTTATTGACATTATGCAATAATACCAGTATTTCATTCATTTTTATGGCTAAACAATATTCCATTGTGTGGCTATATCACATTTTGTCTGTCCATGTATCTGTTCATAGATATTTGCGCTGTCCTTTTAGCTTAAAAGTAATACTGCTATGAACATTTAGGTACAAGTTTTTGTGCACACATATGTTTTCATCTCTCTTGGATATATACCTAGGAGTGGAATTGCTAGATCAAATGGTAACTCTATGTTTAACTTTTTGAGGAATTACCAGACTGTTTTCCAAAATAACTACACTATTTCACTCCCTCCAACAATGTGTAAGAGTTCCAATTACCTACAACCTCTCTGAAACTTGTTATTATATAACTTTTTTATACCCATCCTACTAGGTGTGAAGCGATATCTCATTGCGGTTTTGATTTGCATTTTCCAGATAGATAAGGATGTCGAACATCTTTTCACATACTGTTGGTCATATTTGTATATCTTTGGAGAAATGTCTACTCAGATCCTTTGCCCCTTTTAGTTGGTTTATTTTTTTTAATTGAATTATAAGCTTGTCTCATTTGTTTTTGTTTCTCAATTCCTCCTTTTCTGCCTCCTTTGGGATTACTTGAATTTTTAAGGAAATGTTTTTGTGACAAAATTGTATATACTTAAGGTGTATAACATTTTGATATACATATACGTTGTGAAATGTTCACCATAAAAAATTTTACCACTTTTTTGTATGTGATGAGAATACTTAAAATCTACTTTCTTAGTAAATTTCAAGTGTACAATGCATTATTATTAACTATAGTCACCATGCTGTGCGTTAGTTCTCTAGAACCTGTTCATCTTGTAAATGAAAGTTTATACCCTTTAACCAACTTCTCCTCATGTCCCCTACACCCTAGCCTCTGGTAACCACTCTTCTATTCTCTGTTTCTATAAGTTCAGCTTTTTAGATTCCATGTAGAAATGGTGAGATTAGGCATTATTTGTCAATGCCTAATTTTTTTAGAGTTTTTATCATGAAAGCATATTGAATTTTGTCAAATGCCTTTTTTGCATCTATAGAGATGGTCATATGGTTCTTGCCCCTCATTCTATTAATGTCACATTTATTGATTTGCATATGTTGAACTATCCTTGCATCTCAGGTGAAAAAAATTTCACTTGATCATAGTATATAATCCTTGTAATCTGCTGTCAAAATCCGGTTAACTAGTATTTTGTTGAGGGTTTTCTTTTTAGAATTATTTTTTATTGAATAATCATGGTTTTAAAATTTTTTTATCCTTTTGATATGGTATATTACTTTCAGTTTGGGATTTTCAATCTACTTTGCATTACTGCAATAAATCCCACTTTTTAAAACTAGATTATTAATTTTTTGTCAATATTCTTAAGAAATATTGGTCTGTAGTTTTATTTTCCTGTGATGCCTTTGTCTGATTTTGGTATCAGAATAATATGGGCCTCATAGAATGACTTAAGGATCATTCACTTCTATTTTTAGGAGTGACTAAATAATTGATGTTGATTTTTTAAAAATATTTGATGGAGTTCATCATTGAAGGCAACTGACCAAGGGAATTGCTTTGTGAATAGTTCTTGATTACCACAGAATTATATTTTATGACAAAAATACAAAGATACATAGTTTTAAAACTAGATAGATAAATTGTCTCACAGTCACTGAAGCTCTGTTCATTTTTTCTTTCTTTCTTCTTTTATTGTTGAGACAGGGTCTCACTATGTTGCTCAGGCTAGTCTTGAACTCCTGGGCACAAATGATCCTCCCACCTTGGCCTCCCAAAGTGCTAGGATTACAGACATGAACCACTGCACCTGACATCTGTTCATTTTTATTCCATTTTTTTCCTTATCGTTTTTCAGATTGGGTAATTTCTGTTGTTCTGTCTTCAATTTCACTGACTCATGTCAGCTCTAATTTTCTGTTAATTCCATCCAGTGAATGTTTTATTTCAGATATTGTTTTAAATTTTCCACTTGTTCTTTTTTGTACTTTCTCTTTCACTGCTGATAATTTCTATTTGTTCATTCATTACAGCCATATTTTTCTCTATATCCTTTAGCATGGTGATTACTACATTATGTTATTACTGCTTTGAAATCTTTGGATACTAATTTCAAAATCTGAGTCATCTCACAGTTAGTGTCCAGGGACATATTTTTTTGTAGAGAATGAGTCACATGTTCCTGTTTTTTCATTTTACTTAATGTATTTGGATTGTATCCTGGCATGGCACCCGATACATTATAGAAAATTTAGTTTGCTATGTTCCTTTGAAGAGAGTTTCTTTCTCTGTTTGTTTTAGTAGGCTCTTAATCTGGCCTAACTCAAACTATAAATTTTGTCTCTGCTGTGGTGGGAAAGAGCTGAAATCTTTATATAGCCTTAGCTGATATGCTTTCAATCTGCCCCATACATGTGTAGTTCAGGGATCGTCCAGAGATTTATTATGCAGAGTATATACATAGAGTTTGGGGCTCCTCTTCTGTTGCTCTCTCCCTTCCTGGATTTCCTCCTTTATCTTCCAGCTGCTGTGATAACCCTGAACTCTATCAGGTAGAAATGTCCTCTAATTCTTCAAGATAATAAGACTGCAGATTTTTATACAAGTTCTAGTTGACCCAGGTAGTACTAAATAGGTCATCCCTTCAGGTGAAAAGCTATAAAAATAGGAAATTCACTCAGTATCAATCCCCTTCCCATTTCTGCCTGCTTTAGACTGTAGTACCTTCAGACAGTCATTTTACATATTTTGTTCAGAGTTATAAATGTTATAAATGCTGTCTATAGGAAGATTGGTCCAAAGGAGCCATTGCTAAAAGTAAAATTCCATTGTTTTATATATTAGTTTTTTAATTTTCTTTTTATCTCCTAGGATTCTATTAATAACTCTGGACTGAAGATGAATTTTCCTTCCTCTTCTTCTCACTTTATACATTTTATAGATGGTTACTGTCATTCTATAGGATTTAGAAGGGAGAACTAATATATACGTTTCCTGCTTTCTTAAACCAAAAGCCAGATAATTTTGAAAGAAATCAATTATAATCTCATTTGAAACAGTGGTTAATCTTGAACCAAAAGCCAGATAATTTTGAAAGAAATCAATTATAATCTCATTTGAAACATCAGTTAATCTCAGAGATCTCAGCTTTTATTAGATTAATCTGTTTCAAAAGGAGAAAGTTTTGGTGAAAAAAATATGCTAAGTTTCTCATTTAAAAAATAGGACAACTGAGATGCAGTCTTTTTTAATAGATAGAAAAAATAAAGATTGAAATGCATATTTTATTAATGATAATGCATTGATTTAAAATAAGATGTTCTCAGCTCAAAATCTTCTTAAACTGATAAGCAACTTCAGCAACATCTCAGGATACAAAATCAATGTGTAAAAATTGCTAGCATTCCTATACACCAACAACAGGCAAGCAGTTTGTATGGAACCAAAAAACAGTCCAAATAGCCAAAACAATCCTAAGCAAAAAGAACAAAGCTGGAGGCATCATGTTACCCAACTTCAAACTATGATATAAGGCACCAGTAACCAAAACAGCATGTTACTGGTACGAGAACAGACACATAGACCAATGGAACAGAATAGAGAACTCAAATATGACCACACATGTACAACCATCTGATCTTCAACAACTTGACAAAAATAAGCAATGGGGAAAGGTTAATAAATGGTGTTGGAAGAGCTAGCTAGCTATATGCAGAAAATTAAAACTGGATCCCTTTCTTATACCATATACAAGAATTAACTCAAGATGGATTAAAGACTTAAATGTAAAACCCCAAACTATAAAAACTCTAGAAATAATCTAGGCAAAAATGGGATTTAATTAAACTAAAGAGCTTCTGCACAGCAAAAGAAACTATCATCAGAGTGAACAGACAAACTACAAAATGGGACAAAATTTTTGTAATCTATCCATTTGACAAAGGTCTAATATCCAGAGTCTACAAAGAACTTAAACAAATGTACAAGAGAAAAACAACCCCATTAAAAAGTGGGCAAAGGACATGAACAGACACTTCTCAAAAGAAGATATATGGCCAGGCACAGAGGCTCACACCTGTAATCACACCTGTAATCAGCACTTTGGGAGGCCAAGATGGGTGGATCACTTGAGGTCAGGAGTTTGAGACCAGCCTGGCCAACAAGGTAAAACCCCATCTCTACTAAAAAATACAAAAATTAACCAGGTGTGGTGGCATGTGCTTGTAGTTCCAGCTACTCGGGAGGCCAAGGCAGGAGAATCACTTGAACCTGGGAGGTAGAGGTTGCAGTGAGCCAAGATCCCACCATTGCACTCCATCTAGCCTGGGTGACAGAGGAAGGCTCTGTCTCCAAAAAAAAGAAGAAGAAAGAAGAAAGAAGAAGAAGAAAAGAAAGAAGAAAGAAGAAGAAGAAGGAAGAAGAAGAAGAAGAAGAAGAAGAAGAAGAAGAAGAAGAAGAAGAAGAAGAAGAAGAAGAAATAATACAGGTGACCAAGAAACATGAACAAAACCTCAACATCACTGATCATTAGAGAAATGCAAATCAAAGCCACTATGAGATACCATCTCATGCCAGTCAGAATGACTATTATTAAAAAGTCAAAAAACAACAGATGTTGGCAAGATTGTGGAGAAAAAGGAATGTTTTTACACTGTTGATGGGAGTGCAAATTAGTACAACCACTGTGGAAGACAGTGTGGTGATTCCTCAAAGACCTAGAAGCAGAAATACCATTTGACCCAGCAATCCCATTACTGACTATATACCCAAAGGAATATAAATTATTCTATGATAAAGATACATGCATGTATATGTTCATTGTAGCACTATTCACAATAGCAAAGACATGGAACCAATCTAAATGCCCATCAATGATAGACTGAATAAAGAAATGTGGTACATATATACCATGAAATGCTGTACAGCCATAAAAATGAATTTGATCATGTCCTTTGCAGGGACATGGATAGAGTTGGAGGTCATTGTCTTCAGCAAAGTAATGCAGGAACAGAAAGTTAAACACTGCATGTTCTCATTTATAAGTGGGAACTGAATAATGAGAACACATGGACACATGGTGGGGAGAACAACACACACTGGGGCCTATCAGAGGGTGATGTATGAGGAGGAAAAGCATCAGGAATAATAGCTAATGGATGCTGGCTTACTACCTAAGTGATGTGATGATCTGTGCAGCAAACCACCATGGCACATGCTTACCTATGTAACAAACTTGCACATCCTGCACATGTACCTTCAACTTAAAATAAAAGTTGAAGAAAAAACATGTATAATTTCTGAACTAACAGAGAAAAAAAAAAGAAAACTCTGAGCAACAGATTTAATTCTATGGAAATAAAGGAGAGCAAAGCAAGCAAAAGGCATTGGAAGCATAAAATAAGATTATAAAAGTATCGCCTTTGTTAAAATAAACGTAAATAGGTTAAGCTTCTCTACTAAAAGAGAGACTGATTCTTAGATTAAATTTAAAAAGGAAATATAATGACCATATGTCTAATTCAAAGATCCTATCAACTGCAAGATATATTATCAACTTAAGAATTTTTAGGGAAGAAAGAAACATTCTAAATGCACATACAGATTGTAAGATGCATCACAATTTCACAAACAACAAAATACAAAAAAAAAAAAAAAAGTCTTACCATAAAGAACCACCATGTATGGTGTTTACAAGAGTTGAGCCAAGAAGGAAGGAAGGAAGGAGGGAAGGAAGGAAGGAAGGAAGGAAGGAAGGAAGGAAGGAAGGAAGGAAGGAAGGAAGGAAGGAAGGAAGGAAAGAAAGAGAGAGAAAACCAAAAGGTAAAAAATAAAGGGATAGGCAAAATGTATGACAGCTGGAGAAGGAAGGAAGGAGGGAGGGAGGGAGGGAAGGAAGGAAGGAAGGAAGGAAGGGAGGGAAGGAGGGAGGAAGGGGAAAATAAAAGGTTTGGCAAAATGTGTCAGACATCCAGGGAGGGGAAGGAAAGCAGGAAGAAAATGAGGGCGGGAAGAAAGAAATCCAAAAGATAAAAAAGGGATAGGCAAAATGTGTCAGACAGCTAGAAAGAAATGAGGAAGGAGAAATGAAAGAGAGAAAAAGCGATAGAAGGAAGGAAAGAAAGAGAGTGAAAAAAAAGAAAGAAGAAAGGAACAAAGGATGGAGGGAGGGAAAGGAAGAGGGAAGGAAAGGAGGGAAGGAAAGAGGGAGGGAAGAAGGAAGAAAGGAAGGAGATAAAAGGTAAAATGTGTCAGACAGCTGGAAAGGATGGAAGAAGTGAGGAAAAAAAGAAGAGAGGGAGGAAAGAAGGAAGATAAAAGAAAGAAAAAAGAAAGCCAAAGTGGCAATATTAATATAGAGAAGTAGAGTTCCAGCTAAGCAAGGCATAGAAAGTCATCACATATCGATAGATAGAGATGAAACCCTTCAAAGTGAGCTCATTCTTTGAAGTTTGTGGCTTATGGATTACCCACCCTATCTTACCTTCCAGTGATTATGTAGATTTTTTCCGTTTTTATTTCCCTTTGGTAATTTTGATTGACATTTGAGGGGTAACAAGGGGTGTGCGTGGGGGAATAGTTATTCACCTAAGTTAGCATTTTCTTCAGAAGTATAAATCTCTACTTCTCTCTAAAAGGAAAAATTGACGTGAAATAAAACAATAAAGATACTTTAAAAGGAAAATGTCACTGAACAAGGTTACAAAAAATTAATTTAATTGTATACTTGCTAATAGTAGAGTTTCTTCCTTTTTAGATCTTACTAACAAGCATGGAATTGAGGATATCGGGGATATAAAATTCAGCTCCACAGAGATTTTGACCATTCAAAGCCAGAGTGAACCAGAAAAGTGCAGTAAACCAGGTAGAAATTTTGATAAATCATTAAGCTTATCAGGGATTACCTATTTATGTTGTAAAAGTACAGTATATTTGCATATACAGTGTACTGTGAGTCAGTTTCCATGTTTAAAATTTGATTGTTATAATCCTATGTCATTTTTTCTTATTTGCCCCTTTATTACTATCACTAACTCAGAATCCTACTGGAATCAAAACTGAATAATAGGCTGGGCATGGTGGCTCACGCCTATAATCTCAGCACTTTGGGAGGCTGAGGTGGGCAGATCACTTGAGATGAGGAGTTCAATACCAGCCAATATGACAAAACCACATCTTTACTAAAATTACAAAAATTAGTGAGGCTGATGTGGTGGCACATGCCTGTAATCCCAGATACTCAGGAGGCTGAGGCATGAGAATGGCTTAAACTGGCAAGGTGGAGGTTGCAGTGAGCCGAGATTGCACCACTGCACTCCAGCCTGGGTGACAGAGCTAGAGTCTGTCTCAAAACAAATAAACAACGACAACAAAAAAAATAAAAATAAATAAACAAACAAACTGAATAATACATAGATGGGAGTTATGATGTGGAAGAGGAATAGAGGAAACAGAATTAATATTAAAAATAGAAAACTTAAAATAGTATAGCTCAGTAAATAAAATTTCATATTTTATCTCAGTATTAGCAATCTTACTGATCACTGTGACATTTTTAAAAATTTTGAATTTTTTATCTCCCAAAGCAATCTTATCATTCTCTGTGTCATCATTATTTTTAGTATCATTATTCTACCAAATTTGGAATCTCAGAATCATCTTTTGTTCCAGTACGATGCCAAATTGTGTTGCTCCTTAACTATATTAATGGCACTGTTACTTAATTACATTTATAATTGGATTATCTGAATTATCTATTTGAAAGTTTACTGCTTTATTTATGAAAGTAATGAAACCACACCACTAGTTATCAATACATGAAAATTAGTTTTTCAAGTCTACCATATAAATGTATAATTCTGTGCTAGGCCATCTAGAGTTCAGAGTCATTAAGATGAATAATTACTCTTTATAATACAGTTTGTTTAACATCACTAATGAAAATAAAAATAATTATTTTTTTCTTTCTTTGGAAATAAAAATAATCCTATCACCTAAGTACTGACAACACAAACTGTCAGAATCAAAAGCCTTAATATATAAAGCTCTCAGAATTCATCTGAAACACAGTAAACTCAGTGAAGTTTAGCTATCAATGTATTTTTTAAAAATCACCACAATTGTAGTTGAGACACAATGCGATATATATGTAATTCCTTATATAGATGGACATTTATTTTGTATCTCAATTCAAATTTCTTTTTATAGAAATTTTTTTTTTTTTTTTTTTTTTGAGACGGAGTTTCACTCATGTTACCCAGGCTGGAGTGCAATGGCGCCATCTCGGCTCACCGCAACCTCCGCCTCCTGGGTTCAGGCAATTCTCCTGCCTCAGCCTCCTTAGTAGCGGGGATTACAGGCACGTGCCACCATGCCCAGATAATTTTTTGTATTTTTTTAGTAGAGACGGGGTTTCACCATGTTGACCAGGATGGTCTCGATCTCTTGACCTCGTGATCCACCCGCCTCGGCCTCCCAAAGTGCTGGGATTACAGGCGTGAGCCACCGCGCCCGGCTATAGAAATATTTTTGATGTAACAGAATGATCAAACATAATAGTTGCTTACAAAAAGTTCTAAATTATACTTAATTTTTATTTATTATTTTTTTTAGAGACAAAGTCTTGCTCTGTTGCCCAGGCTAGAGTACAGTGGCATAACCACAGCTCACTACAACCTCAAATTCCTGGGCTCAAGCAATCCTTCCAGCTCAGCTTCCCAGATAGCTAGGACTACAAGCATGTGCCAACATTGCTTTCTAATTTTGTACTTTTTGTAGAGACTGGATCTTGCCACGTTGCCCGAGTCTTAAACTCCTGGACTCAAGTGATCTTCCCACCTCAGCCTCCCAAAGTGTTAGAATTACAGGTGTGAGTCACCGTGCCTGGCCTACTTAATATTATTCAATGTTTACATAACTTTCATTTTCATATATTCCAGGAGAGTTAGAAATGCCACTAACTCCTCTAAACCTATCATGGCAACATTCTTCAGTTAATTCATTATGTGCAGAACTTCAGACATTTCCATTATCTCCGGTTTGCAAAATGTAAGTAAAGATTATATTTAGAACCCAAGTTGCAATTTAGAACAAGCAGTCTTTATTTAAATCTCTGCATATAAGAGCAATTTCCAAGATACCTCTATGAAAAAATTTAAGAGCTAGTACAGTGTCTATAATAAGTAACTAGAAGGAATATATAAATATATGAATATCTTTGGTTTTATATGCAAAGAGTATCTTTAGAAGGGCACACAAGAAACAAGAAATATTGGTTGTATTCAGAAAGGAACTAGGTAACCTAGCAATGTGGGTAGGAAATTTTTCACAATATGGCCTTTCACACATTTCAGTATTTTTAATGTGAATATATTATCATTAAAAATAAATAAATTAAAAAAATTTTTAAGATCCTGACATTGGAATAGTATGCTTAGGACATTGCCACTGGACACTTGCTAATGGCACTGTTTCTACTGGCAGTCACTCGGTTTAAAAACCAAGTTTACTAGTCTCCCCTTATCCAGGGGGAATAAGTTCCAAGACCCTACATGGATGCCTGAAACTGTGGATATTATCACAACCTATATATACTGTTTCTTTTCATGTATATAGATACCTATGATAAAGTTTACTTTATAAATTAGGCAATGTAGTGGTATATTAGATTGCTAGGGCTGCCATAACAAATACCACAGATTAAGTGATTTAAACAACAGAAATTTATTTCCTCACAGTTCTGGAGGCAAGAAGTGAAAGAACAAAGTGTCACCCGGGTTGGATTCATTCTAAGGCCTCCCTCCTTGGCTTATTATACATGTCCATTTTCTCCCTTTGTCTTCATACATTCTTTCCTCCATCATTGTCTATACCCCAGTCTCCTCTTCTTGTAAGAATACCAGTCATGTTGTATTAGTGGCCCTATTTAACTTAATTACCTCTTTAAAGATCCTTTCTCCAAATACAGTCACATTCTGAGGTACTGAGGATTAGGACTTCAACATAAGAATTTTGTAGGGGCACAATTCAGCCCATAATAAGTGGTTAGAAGCTCTGAACTACAGCCAGATTGCCTGTCTCCATCACTTTCTAACTGCAATCTTAATTGTCCTGTGCCTCAGTTTTTTTTAATCTACAATACTGGGATAATAATAGTATCTACCTTATAAGGTTGTTAAGAGGTCTACTAAAAGATTTGTCATAGGTCTGTGGCCAGAAATAGCCAAAGATCACAGAGCAGTGTGGACAATGTTGATCAATAGATTTGGCTATCAGTTTATTCCCACTAAGAGTACCAGGGGTCATGTCCTATCTCTAACAGAAGACGTCCACTGACCTTGTACACCTCTGTCAATGTGGTCTCAGTATTGGGTGAACCAGACATGCAGAACCAAGGTTGATTCATAAACTTGTTCAATACCCAATCGTTGTTGCACAGAATAGTCTGAAATTGTAGAATTGATATTGCAAGGCTATGTCATTATATTCTAGTTTGAGACAAAATTGCATAGCTTAGTTGCCCAGCATCTTGCCCTTTGACAGAGTCTGAGATAGTTTTTGTTGCTCTCTTAAACCGTGTAGCATACATGTAACTTAATGTTCTCTAAGATTGATTGGTCTGCTATCCTGGAATAAAGCCACTCCATTCCTCTGCTTCTTATGCCAATTACAAAATTGGGAACATAATCAGTACAATCAGTCTACTGTAAACTTAGAACTTAATGTGTCCTAAAATAATATATTTTAAGGAAAACGACGGTAAAGTCTACAAGTCTCTAATGAATTATTCCAGGACTGGAAACTGTGGGAGCTGTGCATTAGGTTTCAAGTTCTTGTTAGGATTAGCTGATCTGCCAGAGGAGAGTGCTATTTGGATTACTGGGAGCAACTGAAGTCAAGGCTCTATAATTTATCACTGGCTGCTTAGTCTTCTATTAATGGTCTCAGGAAAAAGCATGAGACTGAGGGCCCTAAATATATCGTTATCTTCTAGCTAAGAATTATTTACATTTCTGGAGCAAATTTGTGTTATACGGAGTGTGCTATAACTAAGACTTGTCCATATTAGATATGAGCCCTACAAATTGCATAGGACAAGTATGGAAACTGCATATAATTTGTTTAAATACTTTTAGTTCCCTTGCTAAGGTGAAAGATGTTTATTTGCAGGACATGTGCTGTCTTTATTAGTGCCCTTTTACTCTTTTATTTACTCCATATACCATAATCCATCTGTTATGGCAGATTGGGATGTTTAGAAACAAAAACTAGCAGAAATTACCGTCATCTTTAATTTCAATCTGATATTAAAAGTATATAAACTGTAATAAGCTCTTTTTAATCACAGGTTATATGTCTGTTGTTATAACTAAAATATCTAATAAGAATTTATGAAACAAATCTTAACTAATGATTTGGCAAAGTTAGAACAAAAAAGGCTTTCAAATTGCTAATGGTTTTAGAGTTATTTGAAACAACTGAAAGAAGTTGTCCCCTTACTACTACATTTATGAGCAAGAGATAAATCACTTCCATTGGTTTGGTGACTGTAAAAGCTTAAAAATCTATATTTTAAAAATGAGTTTACAGTAGTCCCCCCTTATCCAGGGGGAATAATTTCCAAGACCCTAAATGGATGCCTGAAACTGCAGATGTTATCAAACCCTATATATACTGTTTTTTTCTCATATATACATACCTATAATAAAATTTAATTTATAAATTAGACATAGTAAGACATTAACAGCAATAACTAATAATAAAATAGAACAACCATAATAAATACAAGCATCATTACACTTGTGCTTTGGAGTCATTATTAAATTCGGTAAAGGTTACTTGAACACAGGTACTGTGATTCTGCAACAGCCGATCTGATAACTGAGAATGCTACTAAGTGACAAATGGGCAGGTAGTGAGTATATATAGTGTGGATATGCTGGGTGAAGGGATGATTCACATCCTGGGTGAGATGGTATAGGGTGGCGTCAAATTTCATCACACTGCTCGCAACAGTGCAATGTAAAACTTATGAACTGTTTATGGAATATTCTATTTAATATTTTGGACCATGGTTGACCACAGATAACTGAAACTGAATATACTGAAATCATGGATAAGGGGGAACTACTGCATATCTCAACTGCAAAACTAAAAACAAGGAGAAAAAGTGTTAAAAATTTTTTTAAAAAGGAAGGGAAAATAATAAGGAATGTTATAGCTTTAACTTATTTTTAAGGTATCAATTATTTTTATTTCAGAACACACTTTGGCTGAAAATAATACCCAGTTAACAATATTTTTAGTGCCTACCACATGTGAGATTCTATGCTAGATTTTATGTGCTAAAAAAGAAATGTCTGCCTGGCATGAGATTTTATTAATGTTCTGACTGCCGACTTGTGAATATATTTTTATGAACAAACAATGTATCAGATTCAGACATGTCTTCAGAAAGCATCATTAAGAGTGAAAATATTTGTCTATATTGGACATGGCTTGCTAGGTATTACCCCTTCCTTTCACTTTAAAATAGTTGCTTACAATCTGAGGTGTTGTCAAAGAAACCTTGGTAAGATTCAAGAATTGTCTACATTCTCAAATTTTCTGCCACATGACCAGATTTTTGGATTATGTGGGTAAACTGGATGCCTTAGACATAAAACCTAGCTTTCCACTGCCCTAGACTGTCAATTTAATTGGCAGTACTTACTAATTATACGCATGCTCTTGTATGTTCCATATGAACAAAGAAACCCAATACAATCAATTCCCACTCAGGTTAGCAAGAGGTTTAGGGCACAGATTAAGGAGTTTATGAATTAATAATCTTTCCCCTACCAAGGCTAGTAGCTTCATAGCTACAGATAAGCTGTAATTTACACTGACTGTCATATGTATTTCCTCCCTTCTGCCCCCAGTACCCCTAAACACACACAAACACACATCGCTTACTCACAAACCCACCAAGATTGAAGGTCTTGAACTAAACTTTAGGACTCTGCCATCTCCAGAGAAGGACTTTTTCATAGTACTGATCCTCAGCCTGTAGAGGATCCAGAATTTCTATATGGAAGGGACTTGGGGATAGCAATTGTGTAAAAATTTTTGTTGAAGTTGCTATTTTCTTTTTTTTTCTTTCAATCTTTTATTTAGAAATTTTTTAATTGCATTTTAGGTTTTGGGGTACATGTGAAGAATGTGTAAGATTGTTGCATAGGTACACACATGGCAGCGTGGTTTGCTGCCTTCCTCCCCATCACCTATATCTGGCATTTCTCCCCATGTTATCCCTCCCCAACTCCCCACCCCCTGATGTCCCTCCCGTATTTCCCCCCAACAGACCCCAGTGTGAAATGCTCCCCTCCCTGTGTCCATGTGTTCTCATTGTTCAGCACCCGCCTATGAGTGAGAACATTTGGTGTTTGATTTTCTGTTCTTATGTTACTTTGCTGAGAATGATGGTTTCCAGGTTCAGATTCCCTGTTTAATAAATGAAGTTGCTATTTTCATGGTAAGCATGGTAATTTTACTTAGATTGTATTTTTATTTTTGGTGGCGTATAAGATTGGTTCTAGCATAGTTTATGCAGGGAAGTGCTAAAACCCTCCTGTGTCAGCCCTCTCTGGCTCCAGGTGCCACTGAGGGAGCTAAAGGTGGGAGTAATTTATAGTCAATTAGGAACAATTGAGTTTACAAAGTACCAAACCTTCCCAGGAATGGAGAAAATGAGAACTGTATTTGATATTTGGTCTATGGAACTCTACTGCAGTTTACACATTTATAAAGTTAATTTTTCACTTGATTTTGAGTGTAAAAAGTACTTTAAAATACTTTTTAAAACAAAATTTTATTATACCAAAGACTCATTAATATTGTTAAACTTTTTTTCAGTAATTTGCTTACTGCTGAAGAATCAGCTAATAAATACTACATGGTGTGGCAATTAGAAAGCTGTAGAAGCCCTTTGAACTCATTTTTGCTTACAGGTAAAGATTAATTGCTCTTAAATGATAAATAGAAAGTATAGGTTAAAAGGTACAACCAGTAGAAATGTGGGGTATCCTTTTTCTTTGGCCATTTCTTAACACAGAATATGTAGCTTAGCCTAAAGGTAAAATATCAAGATATCTTCCATAAGGTTCATTATGCTAGGTACAGAAGTGTATGACAAGATCTGGATCCTGCTGATTTTCTGGATAATTCCTGCACATGGGAGAAGGAAAAGAAAAGAAATGCAAGTAGTACACAAAACAGTCCCATACATGTAATTTCTATTTCCAAGGTTGTGAGTTGCTTGTTTAAAAAAAAAAAAATCACATCCAAAGTTAAAATGTTTCATTTCCCAAGCTTTCCAAAAAGGACATTTAAAAACATTTTAACAACTGCTGGAAATTAGCCGGGCATGGAGGGGCGTGCCTGTAGTCCCAGCTACTTGAGAGGCTGAGGCACAAGAATCTCTTGAACCTGGGAGGCGGAGGTTGCAGTGAGCCGAGATCACGCCATTGCAATCCAGCCTGGGCAACATAGCGAGTCCCCGTCTCAAAAAAAAAAAAGAAAAAAGAAAAAGAAACCAAACAAACAAACAACAACAACAACAAAAACAAAACCACACACACAGAAAAAACAAACAAAAAAACAGCCGGGCACTGTGTCTCACGCCTGTAATCACAGTACTTTGGGTGGCCGACGCGGGTGGGTCAATCGAGGCCAAGAGTTTGAGACCAGCCTGGCCAACATGTTGAAACCCCCTCTGTACTAAAAATACAAAAATTATCTGGGTGTGGTGGTATGCGCCTGTAGTCCCAGCTACTCTAGAGGCTGAGACAGGAGAATCGCTTGAACCAGGGAGGTGGAAGTTGCAGGAGTTGAGATCGCCACTGCCCTCCAACCTGGGCAACACTGGGCGAGACTCCATCTCAAAAATAAATAAATAAAAGCATTTTAGCAAAGCTTGTTTATAGTTTAACAAAATAATTTTGAAGTGAATGTACGTTTCACATGTATATTCAAAATTTACCTAAGTTAAACTCTTGTCTGTGTCTGAACTGTTCCATTATAGGAATGGAATTTTGGATAAGGTATTCTTTTAAAAATTTTTTAAATGAATCACTGAGTTGCATTTGGAGGCCAAAAACAAAGTGAAAACAGGAATCCTGGGGAGCAAGTAAGCACCAAAGCTAGCTTTCCCTCCAAGCTCTCCATTAAACCTAGGAGACTTTGAACTTCTGTTTTGAGGTCTACATGTAGTGTAGTCAAGAAATATCCTTCGTGTTGAGTCTAATAGGGAAACCCTACATAAAACTTGGAGTTCAACAAACTACCATTAAAATAAAAGCATACAAAAATAAACCACCATATAGAAGGGAACTCCAAATAAATTTGCCTATTTCTACCTTGGAGCTGGAAGAAAGGAAAAGAAGAAAACTTTCCCTTAAGTGCTTCTAACCAGAAGGCAGTCATCATGCCTGGTTGCAGTCTGAATTCAAACCACCTATATAATTTGAAAAAATAGTGGTGATTTAATTTAAAGTGGTCCCAGGTAGACAGGCCTACCAAACACATAAACAACGATAAATCCTTTCTAGAGGAAATTTTTTCCTGAGGAATGTACTTCAAATCAGGCTTCAAAGACCTTCCACAAAATTGAAAGAAACACATGCTAATAGATAAAAATCACAAAATATATTGGGATCACCAGTGAGATAAAGAAGAAACATTAGACATCAAAATCAGATTATATATTGGAATTATCAGTTACATAGTATAATATACTTTGAAAACAAAAAAAGGAGGGAACAAGACATCTTGTATTATTTCTTACCACTACATGTGAATCTACAATTATTTCTATCTGAATAAAAGGAATGGACTGTTGATACATACAACATAAATGATCTCAAAATAATTATGCAGAATGAAAGAAACCACAAAAAAAGAATTCATATGGTATAATTCCATTTATATAAAATTCTAGAAAATGCAGTTTAATCTATAGTGGCAGGAAGCAGAACAGTGGGACAGGGGCTGGGGGACGAGGAAGATTAGAAGAGAGATATAAAGAGGCAGGAGCAAACTTTGAAGGGAATGGATATACTCATTACCTTGACTGTAGTAATGGATTCATGAATGTATAAATATGTCAAAACTTATCAAACTTTTCACTCTATGTGTAGTTTATTGCATGTCAGTTATACTTTGATAAAGCTATTTAAAATTATATCTATCTTATAGAATTATTTAGGGTTTAAGAATAATGCATATAGGCCAGGCATAGTAGCTCACGCCTGTAATCCCAGCACTTTGGGAGGTGGAGGCATGCGGATTGCCTCAGGTCAGGAGTTGGAGACCAGCTTACCCAACATGGTAAAACCCCATCTCTACTAAAAATGCAAAAAATTAGCTGGGCAAGGTGGTGGGCGCCTGTAATCCCAGCTATTCAGAAGGCTGGGGCAGGAGAAATACTTGAACCCGGGAGGCAGAGGTTGCAATGAGCTGAGCTCGCACCACTGCACTCCAGCCTGGGAAACGAGTGAAACTTGAAACTCCATCTCAAAAAAAAAACAAAAGAATAATCCATACAAAGAAAGCACTTAGCATAGTGCCAGATGTTTTTTAGTAACTTGTAATTACTGTTATTAATATTAGTATTTTTTTTTTAAGTTTTGATTTCTTCTTAATATTATTGTCATTATAAAAGCACCGTTCCAAAATTAGGGTTTCAAAATTTATAATCCTATTTTCAGGTTGATGTTTATAATGCAGATAAATAATATTAGGTAGTTGAGCTACTTCAGTTCCTCCATATGTTATGATTTCTCCCTATTTAGGCTAAAAAGTAATGAGGCAGTAAGCTCTGTACCACAATATCTTAGATGATATAGTCATCATAAAAGCTGAATCTTCTTCTTTAGGTTTATTATAATGAGTTAGAATTTCTAATAAAGCTTATATTACTTCAAAGTGTTAATCAAATATATTAATTTAGTAATTGAAAATGGTCAAACAAAATAAGAGTTCCTCCTCATATCAAATATTTGAATAATTTTAACTTCTTGATATTTTCGAAGAGTGGAATAAATCCTTTATGTGACTTCTACTCCTATAGTAGCTTGAACTTTTACAAATATTGGCATATTGAAAACAAAAATACCAGATATAACTTAAAGTTTTACTTTTTTCCTAATGCATGAAAATGCATTTCATAAAGAAATTCCAGTGTGGTTCTTTTTATTGTGTTTTGTTTCTTTTGCTTTGTAGACTGTGTCTAACTAATTGTTTCTATTTTTTTGTAAGTGCCAAGAATTCAAGAGCCCCACAGCCAATATTCAGTTACCGATTTGAAAAAGATATTATCTGTTAAAGAAGAAAGTCTTATTATTAATCCCGTAAACACAGAGTGGTGGAAACAAGCAGGACTAAATCTGAAAATGATGCAAACTTTGGAACATCTGAATACAGATTTATGTCTTGATGATCTATCTTCTAATGACACTAAAATGGAGATATTTTTGCCTACAAAAGTATTTCAATTGGAATGTAAGTACATAATAGTAAATATTAATCATGTAAACATTTTCAGAATGTGAAAATATTAGATTCTGGATTTCCTCTAGGTAATTGGGAAAATCACTAGGTTTTAGCATTCCACATAGGCCCTGGCTCTGCCAGAATTTATGACTTTGGATTTCTCTAGGTCCCATTTTCTTGAAAAAAAAATGATGAAGTTTGACTAGCTAATCCTACAATCTCATTATGTCCTAAAATTCTATAGTCTCAGTTTTAAAATTTCTAGCAATTCTCATTTAAAGTGATTTTGTTTCCTTTTATAAATGATTAAATTGCTAGCAATTTCTGTTCACTCAGCCTAGACACAGGTCAGCATTTTGCTGTAATTGTTTTTTGACCTAACAGCTGAACATTGGCATTCAGTAATGTCTCTCTTGAACAATAGAGAATCTTCCTTTGTTACTTAAAAGTTTACTAATTCATTTTTTACTGTACAACTTAAAAAGGCAAAAATGACTTTTGAGTCTTTATGTCTTGAGCTATTTTGGTTGCTATATATGGTATTATATTAATAGTAAATGAAACATATTTAGCATGAATTGTGTGTGTGTGTGTGTGTGTGTGTGCGCGCGTGTGTGTGCGCACGCATGTGTGTTTTCTGAGACACAGTCTCACTCTGTTGCCCAGGCTGGAGCACAGTGGCATGAACTCATCTCACTGCACACTCTGCCTCCCAGGATCAAGTGATTCTCTTGCGTCAGCCTCCCGAGTAGCTGGAATTACAAGTGTCCACCACTGCTCCCGGCTAATTTTTGTATTTTTAGTAGAGAGGGGGCTTCACCATGTTGGCCAGGCTGGTCTCAAACTCCTGATCTCAAGTGATCTGCTTGCCTAGGCCTCCCAAAATGCTGGGATTACAGGCATGAGCTACTGTGCCCGACCAGATTTGGGAGTGTTTATAGTTTATTATAGAATAATGAACATATTTAAAAATCAATTTTAGAAATTACTATCTATGTTGGGAGACTGGTCTAAGAAGTTAAGGAATCTGAATAAGAAATGTTATCAGGCCGGGCGCGGCGGCTCAAGCCTGTAATCCCAGCACTTTGGGAGGCCGAGGTGGGTGGATCATGAGGTCAAGAGATTGAGACCATTCTGGTCAACATGGTGAAACCCCGTCTCTACTAAAAATACAAAAAATCAGCTGGGCATGGTGGCGCGTGCCTGTAATCCCAGCTACTCAGGAGGCTGACGCAGGAGAATTGCCTGAACCCAGGAGGCGGAGGTTGCGGTGAGCCGAGATCGCGCCATTGTACTTCAGCCTGGGTAACAAGAGCGAAACTCCGTCTCAAAAAAAAAAAAAAAAAAAAAAGAAAATGACAGCAATAGACTTGATGCAAGATTGCCACAGAACTTCAATTTGTGAAAAAAATGAATGTTTAACAGTATAGTTAAATGTATAGCAATATAATTCTGAAGTTTAAGAAGCAATAACTGTATCTGGAATCCATGCCAAATGGTCAAGTAGGGGTGGTTAAAGAGAGAATAATGAAGGGAAATAATGAAAAAACTGAAATAATAAAGTTTCTATTCACCTGCTAGACATACTAGATTACCACTAGAGAATATCTGAAAAGTGGCACTTGGATCCTATTCAGCCCACATATTATGGACTCATATGGTATTTTAATTAGTTAACAACTTTTTTTTTGAGACAGTCTTTGTCACCCAGGCTGGCACTATCTTGGCTCACTGCAACCTCCACCTCCTGGGTTCAAGCAATTCTCCTGTCTCAGCTTCTTGAGTAGCTGGGACTACAGGTACGTACTATCATGCCTGACTAATTTTTGTATTTTTAGTAGAGAGGGATTTCACCATGTTGGCCAGGCTGGTCTTGAACTCCAGACCTCTGAAGTGCTGGAATTATAGGTGTGAGCCATCGTGCCTGGCCAATTACCAACATTTAAAATTTGGGAGATTTTACATATATAATATGTATTTTGAGTTTATCTTTAAAATTTAAAAAACTGGACTCCGATTCTGATATGGCAACAATTGGCTGGAGCCATTAACAGCTTATCACTATAAACAGACCATGCGCTCTCCAGCCCACCACAGTTTCCAGGACTTACAAATCAAAGCCTGTTGCTAGGTGACATTTGACACTTTTGTCTTACATTTAGGTATAAGAGGAAAGTAAAATGTTTCTTATACCAATATCGCTAATAAAAGCAAAAACAAAAATAAAATTATAAACTACATTTTGGAAGAAAACAATACAAAGTTCATCTATACAAACAAAGATTGTGATTTAAGCAGTAGCCATACATTTTACTAATTTAGTTGGCCCTATAGGCATTTTTTCCCCCAAATCTATTTTATGAGGTATAATGTACATAAAATAAAACTGTACCTGTTTTGTTTGTATTGTACTCACATATATGGTTTATTAAGGGAAAGGACACATATTAGCCAAAGAAAGAGATGCTTTTGATGGAACTTAGGAGGGCTCCAAATGTGAAGATTTCATTGTCCCCAGGATACATTACTCTTTTGCCATTGATACATCACAATATACACAAATGTTTCCAGTCCAGGAAGACTATCTATTTTAACTGTACAGTTTGATAAATTTTGATAAGCATATATGCCTGTGAAACTACCACTACAATTAAGATACAGAGTATTTCTATCATAAAAACATTTCTTTATGCCCCTTTGCAGACACTCTGCCTCTATCCTGCCTCTCCTCCTCATTAACCTACCCCCTGGTCCTTGACAACCACTAGTCTACTTTCTATCACTATATATTATATGTTGCCCCGTCCTAGGATTTCACCTATGGAATCAAATAGTGTAAGTTCTTTTGTGTCTGCCCTCTTCCACTCAGCATAACATTTCTGAGATACATTCATGATGTTGTGTGTATCACTAGTTCATTTCTTTTTATTGCTAAGGAATTTTGCATTGTATGGCTATGCCACAGTTTGTTTATCAATTCCTCTGGATTTTTCCCCCAGTTTTTTATTATTGGGAAAAAAAGTTATGAATATTCTTGTACAAGTCTTTTTGTGGATAATGTTATCATTTCTCTCTGTAAGTTTTTATTTATTTTTTTAAAGTTAGTTAGAGATTAACTTTAATCTCGCTATGTTGACCAGGCTGGCCTCAATCTCTTGGCCTCAAGCAATCCTCCCATCTGGGCCACCCAAAGTACTGGGATTACAGGTGTGAGCCACTGTCCCAGGCCAACACCTTATCATTTCTCTTGAGTGAATATCTAGGAGTTGAATTGCTGAGTCTTATGTATATGTTTACTTTTGTAAGAAACTACTAAATTGCTACCCAAAATAATTTTGCCATTGCACATTTTCACCAGCAATGTGTGAAAGATCCAGTTACTCCATATCTTTGCTAACACCAGGTATTGGCAGTGTTTTAAGTTTTAATCATTCTAATGGGTGTGTTGTGGTATTTCATTGTGGTTTTAATTCTGTTTCCCTCCTGACTGATGATATTGGGCATCTAATTACATGTTCATTGGCCATTTGCATATCATTTTTAAAAATACAGGCACATTTCATTTTATTGTACTTCATTTTATTGTGCTTCACAGACAATTGTCTTTTTTACAAATTGAAGCTTAGTGGCAATCTTGCATCAAGCAATTCTTTGGCAGTCATTTTCCAACAGCATTTCCAACTCTAGAATTACCATCATAACTTATTAGATATCAAAAATATAAAATATGAATATGTTTTATTTTAATTTCAAATTAGTTACATATCACAATAAAGACTTCATGTAGTTTTATAAATTCAATACATTATATGGATATTTGAAGAATATGTGCTCACTTTGTGTCTCTTTGTCACATTTGGTAATTCTCACAATATTTCCGATTTTTTTCTTATTTTATACCTGGTATAGTTATCTGTGATCAGTTACCTTGATTTTAATTTTGTAATTGTTTTGGAGTACCATAGATCATGCTCATATAAAAAAGTGAATTGAACCAATAAATGTGTGTGTTCTGACTGCTCCACTACCGGCTGTTCCCTCATTTCTCTCCCTTTCTTCGGGCCACTCTATGTCTACTGAGACACAAAGATACTAAAATTAGGCCAATTAATAACCCTACAGTGGCCTGTAAGTCTTCAAGTGAAAGGAAGAGTTGCACAACTCTCACTTTAAATCGAAGGCTAGAAATGATTAAGTAGAAAAGGCATGTTGAGAGTTGACCTAGGTGAAAAGCTAGGTCTCTTGCATCAAACAGCCAAGTTGTGAATGCAAAGGAAAAGCTGAACCCATAATATCTCTGAGGTATTCCTGAAACAGCTTTGTCAAGATATATTTCACATACTATACAATTGACTCATTTAAAGTACACCATTCCATGGCTATTAGTATAATCTCAGAGTTGTGCAATCATTACCACAAACCATTTTAGAAAACTTTTACCACTCCAAAAAGAAATCCTGTACTTATTAGTTGTCACTCCCCATTTTACTCAGCTCTGGAACCACTGTTCTCTATATGTAGATTTGCCTTTTCTGGACATTTTATATAAATGGAATCATACAATATGTGATCTTTTGTGACACTTCTTTCACTTAGCATGTTTTCAAGATTCATCTATTTTGTGGAATATGCATTTCTTATGTGAACTATTGTTCAAGCCTTTTGCCAAATTTTTAATTGGGTTCCTTTTTAAATATAGAGTTTTAAGAGTTCTTTATATATTTTGGATACAGTCCTCTGTCAGTTATATGTATTGCAAGTATTTTTTTCTGTTGTGACTTGCCTGATAAGTAAGTATTTGACCCATAGAGTGACTGTTACCTCAAAGGCTGTGACTCATAAGCCTATCAGCAAAAGGGCTTTACTGGAATTTCTTTGCTTGGTAAACTAGCTCCTGTAATAAGAAAAAGAGTGCTAAATTTTGATCCTTTTAAAAAGTTTATTTCATTTAGACTAAAAATTGATTTTCAAAGCAGTAAACAAGGTACCGCTAAATATCAAATTACATTAATAAGAAACCACAACTAAGTTATTTGAATACCTAATAGAACACTTGTTTAGGTGTGGAAGTTATTTGTGTATTTTTTATTTTCTGTTTTCAGCATGTCTAGAACATAAAAGTCATTCTTCACCTATTGCACTTATTGATGAAAAATCTACAAATGATCATTTATCACTTCCACAAAAGAGTCTACCTCTGGCAAAAGAAATACTAGATCTATGTTTTTCTGATGAATATTTCTCTCATAAAAGACCAGCAAAAGAGGAGAAACCAACAAATGACCAAGAACCAGTAAACAGAATAATCCATAAGAAAGAAAATAAAGATCACTTTGAACTTGACTGCATAGGACCATCTATTAAATCACCTTCCTCTTCAATAACTAAAAAAGCATCTTTTGAACATGGTAAAAAACAAGAGAATGATTTAGACCTTTTGAACGACTTTATTATGCTACGAAATAAATATAAGACTTGCACCTCAAAGACTGAAGTCACAAACAATGATGAAAAACATGGTAGGTATTTTAATAATATTTTGCCATAGATATGGTAGTCTCAGGACTAAACACATAATTTATTGTAAAAGAAAAGGAAATAAAGCTCTTCTAGATAAAATTATATTATTTTTCATAGTTAAGGAAAATGTCATTGATTGTTGAGACTTCTTGTATACAGATAGTTTATAGATATATAGGCATAATTTAGATATAGATACGTATTTTTTAAAAAATCTAAAAGTGCACTTGAATTTGTAACAAAAGCCACTATTTGTAAAACTTGCTTTCTACAACAGGACCTTACAAATTCATAGTATTTCTAACTTTTGCTGGTCAATTCTGCCATTCTTTTTTCTCTTTTAGCTGTAAGTCCTATTTCAGTATTTTAACTTAAATTTTAACGTCTACTTGAAAGAAAACTTTCTCTGCCCACTTAATTGTGTATTACTCTTTCTAACATTATCTAACAGTTTTTGTTTGAGTTGTAATTGTCTTACATTCACTGCTTATAGCCACATCAAAGGAAATATAATGTGTCATATCATTTTACCTCTCATAAAAACAAAATAGGCATTTCAGAATGAGTTTGACATTGGTTACCCTGATGAAATAAACACAACAATATTTATTTATTAGCCGGGCGCGGTGGCTCATGCCTGTAATCCCAGCACTTTGGGAGGCTGAGGTGGGTGGATCACGAGGTCAAGAGATCGAGACCATCCTGGTCAACATGGTGAAACCCCGTCTCTACTAAAAATACAAAAAATTAGCTGGGCATGGTGGCGCGTGCCTGTAGTCCCGGCTGAGGCAGGAGAATTGCCTGAACCCAGGAGGCGGAGGTTGCGGTGAGCCAAGATCGTGCCATTGCCCTCCAGCCTGGGTAACAAGAGCGAAACTCCGTCTCAAAAAAAAAAATATATATATATATATATATTTATTTATTTATTCATTGACTACTATTGTTTATTCCTAAAATTCAGTACACACTAGTTCAACCTAATGGCCAGGGACACTGGAAACTTTCAATATTTATATATTGTTACATTCAGAAATACCAGAAATATTTTCTAATGATCAACCTGTTTGATAAATCCTATTCTTTCTTCATAAGGATAATAATATTTTCATAAATACAGGTATATTTATGCTTTATAAAGCACTTTCACATCTACTGTCATATTTGATCTATTTAGAAACATTGTCGAGGAATCAAAGTAGGTACTATTACCCCATTTCACAGTTAACGAATACAAAAATACTTATGTGACTTAGAGATAGTTAGATCTTACTGTCTCATATACTATTCATAGACACAAGATCTTCAGGTCTTAATGTCATGATGGTTATACTTATTTTTCTAAAAGATGTGACAGCCTTTCATAAATCTGCTTAAAGTAATATTACTGAGGTTGGGCAAGGTGGCTCACACCTCTAATCCCAGAACTTTGGGATGCTGAGGTAGGAGGATTGTTTGAGGCCAAGAGTTTGAGACCAGCCTGAGCAACATAATGACACCCCATCTCTAAAATTAGCCCAGTGTGGTGGCACACATGTTATCCCAGATCAAGAGGCCGAGGTGGGCAGATGTCTTGAGCCCAGGAGTTGAGGTTAAGGTGAGCTGTCATTTAAAAAAAAAAAAAAAAAGTAATATTACTGTGTCAATCAGTGCATTTTTCATGGTAAAAATGCAGAATAGTATTTAAAGATTTCAGAATTTTGTTATCTTTTATATTTCTACATATTCACCTTAAAGTTTCTTTTTATGTAATAGTTTGGCCACCTTATAACTTACCTGGCCAGATGACAATTCTGTATGTAACTGAGCTTTTTCTAACCAATATTTGCACCATAATTAAAGCCTCACTTCTGCATGTAAATGAGGAAAATATAAATAATTATTTTATAAATGTGATACAAAAATAGGAACTTTTCAAAGATTTGTTATTCTCAGATTTGTTCATGTTTTATGATTCTATTTATATTTGGTGCAAAAAAGAAATCTACCCCAAAATTAGCACTGACATCTTTCTGGTTGCCATAGTGGTGATAATGACTTACAATAGGGTATATTATGAACAGAAAATGAGAGAAAGTAGCAAGAAAGGAGGAAAATATAAAAAAGAATGTTTTTATCTTTTCTTATTTAAAAAACTAGCCATTCATTCACGAAACAATTAAAGAACATTAATGTTATGAGGGAATGCTTCTGTACTCCTGATGTTTCCTCAATTAAGTATTATGTTCCTGGCCTCTTTGCTCTTTTATACATCTCTCCAGAGGGGACGGAAAGAATCATCTGAATTGTAAAGTCAAAATAATCAATTGGATATAAGCTGTGGGAATGAGTTTCAAGAGTTCTCCTTGGTTTTTTTATTCATGACTGTCCTGGGCAGTATCCCTGACCTCCCCTGCCCTCCCTGGACCCAGTGGGGTATTCTGTCTCAGTCCATCATACCCTAGGAATGGGTGGGTAACTCTGTCTAATTCTGGTGTTTAGTTAGCAAGCTCATTTGATTCTCAGACTAAATTCTATTTCCCAACTTAGCCTTTAATAGTAATAGAGGTAATATTTTGGTGTATATTTTACTTTTCGTCTTATTTTACAGTTAATTCAAGGGCAAGCAAGTAATATTATAAATTCTTAGGCCCCCTCAAAAATTTTAATAATTAATATTATTTGATCAGATCTATTCGAATTATGGTTAATTGAAAGTATTACTTGAAAGTAGCATTATTAATCTAGTTTAGAATATAGCCCATTATTATATTTTTAACCATGTATTTAGAGATGGTAATGTGTTAATGTGGAATTATTTTGTAATCATATTACTGATAAATGATACTACTGTATAGTAAAAATAACTAGACTTCTATGTGTATCTGTGTTTGTATGTAAATCCTCTATAATACCTAGGAAAGAAGAAATCCTCTATAATACCTAAGAAAGAAAGAAAACTAATATTTTATTAGGCACTTTGTGCCTGGCACTAAATTATGTATTAGAGATAAATATGATGCTGTTGCTGACCTTGAGAAGCTCACAGTGTGATAGAGTAGGTCAGATATGCAGATAGATCATTTCAATACAATGTGGCAAGTACCAGGAAAGAAATCGTCAGAGTGCTAAAGAAACAAAAGTGGGAGGCCTTTGCTGGCCTGGAAGTCGGGTGGGCAGTTACATATGACTTTTTATAGAAGATGCCTGAGACCTGCAGGGTGCAGTAGTAAGAACAGGTCTAGGTCAGGCATAGTAGCTCATGCCTGTAATCCCAGCACTTTGGGTAGGGAGATCCCTTGAGCCCAGGATTTTGAGACCAGCCTGGACAACATAGGGTACCCTATCTCTACAAAAACTAATAATAATAAATTTTAAAAATAAATTAGCCCAGGATGGTGGTACATGCCTGTGTTCCCAGCTACTTGGGAGGCTGAGGTGGAGGATTGCTTGAACCCAAGAGGTCGAGGCTGCAGTGAGCCCTGACCATACCAATGGCACTCCATCCTGGGCAACAAAGGGAGAACCTGTCTTAAAAAGAAAAGAAAAGAAAAAGAATTGGCCTAGTTAAAGAAAAAAAGATGGAAATAGGGAAGGTTTGGGGCAGAGGAGAGGATTAGTAGTAGAAGGAAGGGTATGTGGAAAGTCACAGAGAAATTAAGGGGAACGGTACATACCTTCTGTGTCAGAAGCTATACTTGGTGTTTAAAGCAGATATATGTATCCATATTTTACATATGAGGAAACTGAGTCAGAACTGAGCTTGAAATACTGATCTAATACCAAAGGGTTTTCCATTTTTACCATTCATCTTCCTACCTAGCAGTGTTAGGTCCACTGATCTGAATAGTTGTTCACTTTAATACTGATGTGTTTCAATGAAGAAAATTAACAACTGTGATCATATTTTAGAAAAAAAATTAACATAAAACAACATTAAGTTTCTCTTGAACAACACAAATTTATTTTTTTATTGGAATTTCAAGGTAAAGAAGAATGTTCTTTGACTCTTCAAGAAGAAAGTCCTATCATTCATATTAATAAAACCCTAGAGGAAATAAATCAGGAAAGGGGAACAGATAATGTCACTGAAATTCAAGCGTCAGGTATGGTATATGCTTTTAAAATGCATTCATATTTGCTTAGTTTGAAAGCCCTTTCCTAGATAGCTAGGACATACTGCATTTTCCATGTCATTTTCTTCACTTGTTTCAGATATTTCTTCATTGCATTCCTACTTTCAAGTTATATTCCAACCTGGAATGCCCAGTCCACTGCCCCTGCCTCCCCCATTGCCCTGCCCAAGCCATTCAGTGTTATTTCTTCTTTAATTTAAACTACTGCTGCTTCCCTATATCAATCTGTGAACAACTGTACCTCCTTGGACTCTTCCGCCCAGTCTGGAAAATGAACTGCTAATCATGCTCTCTGTGTTCTCTTACCCACTATCAGAGGGATGTAAATAAGTTACTATTGATTCCTGTATTGATTTTTTTGTTATGCTGTAAAGAAGAATATTCTGGCTGGGCGCGGTGGCTCAAGCCTGTAATCTCACCACTTCGGGAGGCCGAGGCGGGTGGATCACGAGGTCAAGAGATCGAGACCATCCTGGTCAGCATGGTGAAACCCCGTCTCTACTAAAAAAAAAAAATACAAAAAATTAGCTGGGCATGGTGGTGCGTGCCTGTAATCCCAGCTACTCAGGAGGCTGAGGCAGGAGGATTGCCTGAACCCAGGAGGCAGAGGTTGCGGTGAACCGAGATCACGCCATTGCACTCCAGCCTGGGTAACATGAGTGAAACTCCATCTCGAAAAAAAAAAAAAAGAGTAATATTCTTCAACTCCTAAAGAACAGCCTGCTTAAGAACATCAGGTTCATTATTAAAATCAATAAGAAAATATGACCCAGGTTCTCATCTTTTCATTCTTTTGGTCTCTAGATGATTATGCAAATTGTTAATGTTATTCTCGAGAAAACTGGAAATAATTTTTCATTGTTTGGCTTAAGATTGTATGCTAATAATGGAGAATGGCAAATAAAAAAATGTAATTCTCTTTATATGGGTCTTTATATTTGCCATGTCAAGTTATTTATGGAATAAACCCTCTCAAATAATATAGCCATAAAATTATATAATTCCATGAGTTTTTTAATTAGCCTATGTAGAATAAATATCTTAAAATAAGTTTTTATATAATCTCATGATTTTTAACTCAGAAAATAATTCAGATAGAAGTTCAGATTTCCACAAAATAACATATTTAATTGGTTTATCAAAAAGAGAATACCATCTTTATTAAAACACTGCCATCACTGCTTTTATTTTTGCAGATAGCCAGTGCCAAGCATTTTGCCTCCTTGAAGCAGCAGCTTCTCCTATCTTAAAAAACCTTGTATCCTTTTGTACTCTCCCTACTGCTAATTGGAAATTTGCCACTGTTATTTTTGACCAAACAAGGTTTCTCTTAAAGGAACAAGAAAAAGTAGTAAGTGATGCTGTTTACCAAGGTGAGTGCAAATAAAAGTCATATTATTTAAAAATATATATTTAGAAATTATTGTATCAAATTAGTAAAAATTGAATATAGAAGATTCAGAAATTAGTCATAGATTATATCATGACTGTAATTCAGCTTATGATACCCAGCCAAACCAATATTGAAGGATCAGCTAAGTAGAGAAAAAGGTAAGAAATATCACCTGGCATTGCTTCTCAGTGAAGCTCCTAATTGACATGTATCACTTGACAGATTCCTATTGCAGAAACAAAATTAACTTTATTGTTGTCCGTATCTGAACCACTCAGTCTCCTCCCAAAAAAGGAGGTCAAAAACTAGATCAAATAAAATCAATCCTAGACTTTTTCTTTCTGCCAAGATGGAGTAACAGGGACTAGATTTACCCTCCTACCGAAAAACAACAACAAAAAGGCAAAGACAAAATACATGAAACCGGTTTTTAAAGACCCTGGACATCAGGCAATGAAAAACAGTGGTTCTTGAGAGAAGGGAAATGAGTGAAATGAGCCCTACTATTACCCTAACTAACTGCCTTGAAAGAATTGTCAGGCCTTGGTGTAGAGAAAGTTACCTGAGGCAGAGCCTGGTGGACAATCTGAGTTGAAGAAACAGGTGAGAGTCCAGGGAGACCAAGACAGATAATCAAAACAGAATGTTAGAGAGCAGAGAGCTTCGCACAGAAAGTATAGAATTGTGCAGAGGATGTCCCTTGAGTATTCAGCAGATGATTGATCAAAGAATATATGTGAAGTGGCCAGGCGTGGTGACTCATGCCTATAATCCTAGCACTTTGAGAGGCCAATGTAGGTGGATCACCTGAGACCAGGAATTCAAGACCAGCCTGGCCAACATGGTGAAACCCCATCTGTACTAAAAATACAATAATTAGCCTGGTGTGGTGGCATGCACATGTAATCCTAGCTACTTGGGAGCCTGAGGCAGGAGAATTGCTTGAACCTGGGAGGCAGAGGTTGCAGTGAGCCGAGATCATGCCACTGCATGCCAACCTGGCCGACAGAGCGAGACTCCATCTCAAAAACAAACAAACAAACAAAGAATATATCTGAGGAAACTACTTGGAGTTGGAGAAACAAACCATCTGAAAGGACTAGAGGGCCTAGTATGCTGCATTCACACCGGGCAGGAATAATAGCTGTTCCCACCAGCTAGACTAGAACAACTCATAATTAATATAGGATTAAACAGAGTACTCAGAAAAATTTTGCCTCAGTAGTGGGAGATAATTATCCCTAGACTTAGCGCTGCTCTGAACCTCCCTAACAAATCACAAAGCAACCCCCCAAGGATCAAACTATTTCCAAGGAACATAGCTGCATCCCATCATAAAGCACAAGAGGATTTATATGAATACAAGAATGCCCAACAAGTTTACAGTCACAATGTCTGGCATCCAATAAGATCATGAAGTATACAAAGAGGCAGGAAAATACAACCCATAATGAGAATAATCAATCAAAACAAACCCAGAATGAACAAAGACATTAGAATGACCAGAAAAGGACACTGAAACTTCTTATAACTGTTTTCTGTATGTTTGAAAAGCTAGAGACATTTAAAAAGATCTAGATCAAATTTCTGGAGACTAAACTACAATGCATGAGATGAAAGGTATAGTGGATGGGATTAACAGCAGATTAAATATTGCAGAAGAAAAAAATTAGTTAACTTGAAAGCATAGCAATAGAAACTATTACTCTACAAAAACTGTAAGGCATGAAAAAATGAAAAATAAAGAAATAAATGAGCATCAGTAGGCTGTGGAATAACTTAAAGTAGCCTAACATTCTGGTAATTAGCGTTCTCAAAAGAGAGGAGAAAAGAGAGTAAATGGAAAAAACTATTTGAAGAAATAATGACTGAAATCTTTCTAAACTAATGAAAACTACAAACCCACAGATGCAAAAAATCTCAATGAACACTAAGTACAAGAGACACGAAGAATGCTAAAACAAGGTCCACATAATCAAATTACTCAAAACCAATAATAAAAAAGAACTGTAGGAGGAGCCAGAGGAAAAAAAAGACATGCTACATACAGGAAACAAAGATAGGGGTGACATGAGATTTATTAACATAAATAATACAAATGAAAAGACAATGAGTAAGCTTTTGAAAATTCTGAAAGCAAAAAACATCAATCTAGTTTTCTATAATAGACAAAATGAGGACTTCTTTTGGAGTTCTTTCTGTCCACATGGTGGTATGTACTTCTGGGCCTTGGTCTGCTTTAGTCTAGGCTAGTAAATATCAGACGTGAAAAAAAAAAGGAAACTCAGCACTTGTTTGGTGGCCTTTTGAAATCTGATCTCCTCCAGTCCACTTGCTACCATTTACCTTTTAGAGTTTCCGTGTATTCTATTTTGTGTTTATCGTTGTATTCAATGGAAGACAAAGGGTGAAGTGTGCTTACTCCATCTTACCTGGAACCTACTTAATTTATTTTTAAAGTCTATTTTCTAAATTCATTAAACTTAGATGTCCTATATATTTTTTAAAGGTTAACTCTCTTTTACAAATGAAAAGAAAGTTGAATTTAATCTTCTTCCAAATAGAGTGCCCAGTCTTTGTGGGGAGCAACATTTTAGTCACCAAAACCTTGAGGTCACGGTAGTATTACTGAGATAGAATACTTGATCTGAGAGGAAGGTGTTAATCCATTGTTTACTACTTGAAATACCTGAGCCACAGAAAGAGCATCAAGATCAATGGGGAGCTGGCATTCTGGTAATGATTATACTGGATAGAAAAGAACAATTGTCAGCAAACTGGCCTTTATGAAAGAAGACAAGACTTCCAAAAACTAAAAACTTACGTCTTCTGGATATAGTTTCGGTCCTGTAATTCTCAGGTTTTAAATTGGTTGAATATGGGTTGAGCTTCTTAAGGCTTTGAACATCATTGAGAAGAATGATGATTATTATAAAATATACGGGCATAAGTATTTATGAAGTATAATGGATAATTAAAAAGGGACATGGTTTTGGGTATCCAGTTGGAACAACATTGCGTTAATCCCGAGCAAGTCAATAGTTGTTATACTTAATATTCTTTTTTTGGCTCCAGAATTGAGATAAACTAAGCCTACGAGGAACGATTAAGTAAACCTAGATTAAAAGAAGTCAGATTCCTAGTCTGTACTCCATTTTCCAAGCATTTTTTACATTTCCAGTTCCCCACATATGTTTTCTCTGCCCTGTTCTCATCTCTTGCAGGTCATCATTGACTTGTTCCAATAGATCCTTCTAGGGGCTGAATATATTACCCATAATTGGCTTTCCTATTGCCTCTTAATTCCCTACTACATATTTGCCTTGATCTTCATTAAATATATCATCAATTTGCAAACTTTTTAGCAGCATTCTTTGTTCAAATAAATATTTCATGAGATCCCAATATATGAAAAAGAAAAAAGTAGAGCTTCTCTGGTTAAATTGGGGTAGGGGGTCTAGAATACCATCTTCTTGGTCTCACATTTATATGCAGAAAAATCCAACCTATCATCCAAAAGAGCTCTGGAACTAAATGGAACACAGTTAGGCAATTAGCCTGTCCCTGTGAGTTTATCCTTTGTTTGAGTTATACCTTTGAATGAATATTCCTAGGTGTCTACCTCCATTTCAGGGTATATCTTCATGTTATAATCCTCTACTTTTAATCAGTTGGTAAGTTATGAATTTATTTTTATCTTGTTTCATATCTGGGAATCATTGACTCTTTTCCCCAATAGGAGCAGAAATAAGTGAATATTCTTTGGAAGCAACAAGGACATGAATTCTAAGGTTAGCTGTCTGAGTTTGAACGACAGCTCTACCATTTACTCACTAACTGACCTTGGGCAGTTACTTAACCTCATTAATACTATTTCGTCATTCATAAAATTTCGATCATAATAAACTTGTCTCATAGGATTACTGTTATGGATTCAGTGAAATTGCCAGCTTATATACAGCCTGGCATATAGTAAGCACTCAATAATAAATGGTAGCTCCCATTAGTAGGCAGATTCTGATATATATTCTGAAACTGTAATATATTGTCTATGTTTTAAAATATGTTTTTGCTTACTTAGGTACAAATGATGAAAGAGAAATGACATTCAAGCATGCTGCTCTCTTACATCTTCTGGTAACAATTAGAGATGTCCTTTTAACATGCAGCTTGGACACAGCTTTGGGTTGGGAATATTTTATTTCCCCTTTTCTTTCTATTAAATATTTCATCTGAAATAACCTACTTTTCTAAAAAAGATACACCTTACAAGAAATTGTGTAGACTTCTTTTCTATTATACTAAGCATTACATACATTTTGGCAAGGTAGTGAGTTTGAGGTTCAAATAATAGAGTTTCTCTTCTGGGTTTTAACCTGGAAATAAATTCGGTATTTATTATGGAATGTGTCAAGTATTACAACAGAGATATATGGTAGTGGTACAAAGGATGGAGACTATTATCCTTAAGATGAATATGTTTTTTAAAAAATAAGTAAAAGTTTGCCAAGTAGATACAGTATAAAAGAGTATTCTAGGCAGAATTAAGAGCCCGGAGGAATGGACCAGTGGATATGTTGCCAACAGTTCCATACGGCTAGATTGAAGAGGACAAGTAGAAGGTAACAGGAGCTAAAGCCTGGAGAAATAAGAAAGAGCCAACTCACGGAGAACCCTTTAAGCCACACAAAAGAATTTCAGGGATGCTACTGGATTACATTTATTTTTCAAAAGGTTAATTCTGATGGCAATATAGAGAGTCAGTGGGAGGTCTGAAGATGAGGAGGCATAAAGAACATAAGTCAGTCTCTAAGTTGCCCATCAGTCTAGCAATTTTAATATAAAAATAGAATTAATATGCACATATATATATAACTTGAACATAAACATTAAATTTTTTAAAATTTATTATTTCATTTGTTATTCAAATATTCATTAAACACCTGATCTACATGAGTTATGATGCCAGGTCCTCTAGTGCAGTAATTTACAAAATTCCGTGCAGCAGAATCATATGGATAGCTTTTAAGACATAGAAATAATTAGGACACACTCTAGATGTACTGAATATGAACCTTCAAGATGAATCTATATTTAAAACTGCCCTTAGTGAGCGTGAATTACGCACTGCTGTTTTAGCACCTGTATGAATTAAATATGTATAAATATAAATACCACATTCTACTCCCAAAGAGCTTATAGACTAAGCGATATACATAAATAAGCAGATATCAAGTACAAAAGTTGTATAGATAAAATGCCAAAAAAATTCCACTTAAGTAGCATTTCAACAAGACTTGCATGTAAATATAGATACTGGGATTAAGGAAGAGTGTAATAGCATTCAACAAGCCAGGAGGCAGGAAAGAATAGAATATATATTCGGTGAGTATGTAGCATATATTAATGTATATATATGCAGCTTAAAAAGAGCAATGTGGTATATATTTTTAAACTTCATTCAGTTTTAAAGTTTTTTATTAATTTTTATTAGTCAATATTTTTGATCAAAATCAGAAAACAATTAAAGGAAATTTTAAGTGTCTCTGACTTATTTTCTTTCAGTCTTTTTACCATGGAGTTTCTTAAAAAACAAAGACTTAGGCAATTTTTTTCTAATTTTGCTTTAATAGGATATTTGTCAAAGGCAAAAGATATCTACAACAGCATTTTAGGCCCCTATTTGGGTGACATTTGGAGACAGCTGGAGATTGTACAGTTTATTAGGGGGAAAAAGCCTGAAACCAACTACAAGATACAAGAATTGCAATGTCAGATACTAAATTGGATGCAATGTCAACAGCAAGTTAAGGTTAAGTATTGGAAAAAAGCAGGTAAAATTATCAGTTAAAGTAAAGAATTGGATGTAAGATACATTTTTTGCATTTAACTTTGAAATAATGAAGTGGTTTATACTACTAAGCCCCTTGATGGTTTAGTCCTTGAATAAGATAACAGAATCAGACCCATAGAAAGGATGATTTGCATCATTATTCATGCCTCAAATTTAAAAATACTTTACCAGTTGGGCAACATAGTAAGACCTTGTCTCTATAAAAAAAATTTTTTTTTAATTAGCCAGGCATGGGTGTGCATCTGTAGTTCCACCTACTAGAGAGGCTGAGATGGGAGGATCTCTTGAGCCCAGGAGGTTGAAGCTACAGTGAGCCATGATCGTTCCACTGCATTCCAGCCTGGACAAAAGAGCAAGACCCTGTCTCTAAATAAATAAATAAATAAACTTTAACTTTTATTATGCATAGTTTTCCTATGGATTAGTTCTCCAATTCTCCAATTGTCTGGTACTTATATAAGTCCATGAACATATTCATAATAACAGAACTACAATGATTTGTTTATTTAAAATACTGAGCCAGTATTTATTTTAAATACTTACATAAGTCCATGAACATATAATAGAACTACAACGATTTGTTGATTTTATTTTTATTTTATTTATTTATTTTATTTTATTTCAAATACTGAGCCAGAATCTCATATGATTCCACCAAAGCAAACATTTAGTTTATGCCTTGGATTACATTCACAATTATTTGCCCACCCTACATCAAGGTTGCATTAATGAAGTTTTAACAGAAAATACTTTTAAAAATCTTATCAAGCAGAAAAGCATTTTGAATGGTTTACACTAAAAATCTGGACATAAATTTATGTGGCCTTTTTCTCATTTTTCACTCTGTGCCTCCTATATCTTTAACCTCAATTTTATAGTTTCTTGGGTAATAACTTTCTTCAGTCATTAAAATAGTTTAATCTAAGTGGGAAATTTGAAATTGAAACTGATTTGTTCTCCCCACCTCTGTCCCACAAAACCGTAATGGTAAGTAGTAAAATATAGCAACAGATCACTGGTTTTCTCCAACAAATTTAAACTTGTGTGGGTTGAATTCAACATCAACAGAGACAACCTATGTATTGATAGTCACATATGTGGGGATACTTGAAGAATGCTGAGAATGCCCTACCCCAAAATATTTTCTTCACTGATATTTTTTCTTGCCAGAATATATATATATATTCGTGTTCAAGTACTGACATCTTTTACAACAGAAATACTTGCTTTGTAATCTTATTGTCATTAGTTTCATAGAACCAATTAAAGTTTGTTATTTTGTCACTGATCAAAACTGTGAAAAAGAATAATCATTCACATATATATAAAATTTTTATTTTTGACTAGGTACTGATTATAATAAGAATGGACTCAGATGGTGAAAAACATTTACTCATTAAAATTCTTAACAAAATAGAAGGTAGGCAGTTTTAAATTATGCTTCATTTGATAACAAATGCTTGAAATTATAAAAATGTATTGATCTAACCAGCTTTTAAAATTAATTATAAAATTAACATACCATAAAATTCACCCTTTGAAAGTGTGTAACTCATTGGGATCTAACCAGCTTTTAAATCAGTCTGAACTATAAGTTTGCAGTATATATATACTACAATGTGTTTACATGTATTTGTTATAACTAATAACGGAAACCTTTTATTGATTGCCTACTGGTTGCTAAATAATATTAGCTACTTGTAACTCTATGAATAGGTTTTATTAACTCAGTTTTACAAATAAAGAAACTAAAGTTCATGCTAAAGATCATGTAGCATGCCAAACCTCACAGGTATTTAGGGAATCAGTATTTGAACTTAGGATTCTCTTGTTTTAGTATCATTCTTCAACTCCCAATTTTTCAGTTCTCTAATCTGTTTTCCTCACTCACCACACTTTTCTACCCACTACTGCTCCTTCTGTCAACCTTTTCCACTTTGTGTTGTAGAATCCATTGCATGTTATGCAAACTCTTCTCATTCTTCATCTCCTTTGTCTAACTGAAACCCAACTTTCCCCACATGATACTGCTTCCTCTCATATAAAAGCTGATCATTTTCTCTACATATATATACCTCATAGAGATTAGAAAGCCATTTCTTGCTTTCCATTATCATTTTCAAAGCATTATTCCTCTACCTTTTAAGGCTGTGCCATATTGCCATACTATTCTCTACCACTCATCATCTACTAACTACTTGGTCGTTTCCCATCATCCGTGGACAGTTGTGTTCCTAACTCATGGTATTCTTTACATTTCTAGTCCTGTCATTACTCTAGGTACCTTTAATGTTTCTAACATGAATTATTCATTCCATACCCTGGCTTTATAGTTTCACTGGCCTCCACAACAAACATTATATTCATCTTCAGTTCCTTGGCTATGCCGTGGAACTTGTGATAATGCAGCTTTGGATACCATCTCCTCCTGCAATCTCAAGCACTTTGCTCCATCAGTTACTTCCTAGCCCAACCTTTCTTTCTAATGGCTCTTGTCCTTAATGTTTAAGCCCTTCAGTCTTAAAAATAAAATAAAATACCACCATCAACCTATGTCATCCTTTGGCTACCATTTCTTTTCCCTCTATAAGCTGAATCTTTTGCCATCTTCATCTCCTAAAGTAGTTCTTTACTCTGAGCTTACCAACCTGTTTATCATGCTGTTTCATATTCTGTATTCTATGCCTTTATACTTACCCCCTGTTCCAGCTATGAGAATACTCTTCCTCCTTCTTTAGGAAGATAATTCCTACACGTTCTTTAAATATTAATTAGAACATTTGTTCAAGAAGTCTTGATTTAAATGCTTTTCCTCTGTGCTCTCAGGGCATTATGTGCATACTTCTGAGGCACCACTTACCACCCCAGGCTATAAGGGTGTTATCACCCTTATAAATGATCCTCTTATCTTCCTCACTAAAATGTCTGCTTTTGGGGGATTCAGATCATATTGGCGCTCAGGAAAATTCCTACAACATAGCAGGTACTCGATAAAAATTTATTGAACAAATGAATGTGCCAATGAGTACCCCTCTATATACCTAGCACATACTGAAACTAGTGAAAAAGATTGAACTGAAATATACAAATATAGCAACATATATCTGCTCATAGGTGCAGGAAGTAAAGATAACTAAAATTTTAAATTATAGTAATGTGAGGATGGAAAAGTCTTTCAAGCAGAGCCTTACAAGGTGCTATTTCTTGATGAAGTTATCATATATCCAGAGTCCAGATTTGTAAACTTGGATCTTATTTCATTTAGTTTTCCAATCCTGGGAAGATGAATTTGTATCCACCAAATTCATAACATCCTTACTAGTGCTGAAATGTTGGTGCAATAGTTAACAATTACGGGGCTGAGACTACCACAGTTATCTGTTATCAGGGTAATTGGAAACATTTTTTTTTAAATCAGGAAAGCGCTGAGCAATGTTTGCACTATAAAAGAAAGGGCCTTGGGTAACCAAAGGAGTGTTTTTGTGAAGAACCTGAGGAAATATGTCTGCTCCACAGATAAGAATATTTAAACCTACTTAGTGGGACACCTTCTCCTTTGATGTTACTGAAGATATATTGACAGATTTTTTTATTTTTATTTTTTAGATTTTGTGGGTACATAGTAGGTGTATAAATTTATGGGGTATATGAGATGTTTTGATACAGGCATGCAATGTGAAATAAGCACATTATGGAGAATGGGGTATCCATCCTCTCAAGCATTTATCCTTCGAGTTACAAACAACTCAGTTGCACTCTTTAAGTTATTTTAAAATGTACAATCAAGTTATCATTGACTATAGTCACCCTTATTGACGGATCGCTTATCTAGGTTTCATGCTGAATACCCCTGTCTCTTTCGGCATTCAGGATTATGTAATCGCCGATCTCGTTATCTTCATTTCAACAAGGTCTACTGACACAAAAATTTTGAATCTATAAACTGGAAGATGTTTTTACTCTTTTTCAGGATGGCAATTATCCTGTTTCTGGAAGCTAGGCCTTTTTCTTTTGGCCTAGTATTAGAAAGTAAAAATGTAGTTCTGTTTTCTATATGTTTGTCAGATCTAGTAATGCACTCACCAAGTAATTAGTCTGCTTTGGGATCATAACTAATACAATCATTTAAGCAGATTAGGTTTTTCGTTTGTTTGTTTTGTTTTTTGAAACGGAGTTTCACTCTTGTTGCCCAGGCTGGAGTGCAGTGGCACAATCTCAGCTCACGGCAACCTCCACCTCCCAGGTTCAAGTGATTCTCCTGCCTCAGCCTCCCAAGTAGCTGGGATTAGAGGCCTGCACCACCATATCCAGCTAATTTTGTATTTTTTTTTAGTAGAGATGGGGTTTTGCCATGTTGGCCAGGCTGGTCTCGAACTACTGACCTCAGGTGATCCACCCACCTCAGCCACCCAAAGTGCTGGGATTCCAGGCATGAGCTACTGTGCCCGGCCAGATTAGCTTTTATAAAGAAGAATCACCTTATGAATTATAAAAAATGAATAGTACTCACTTCTTATCTCTACCAGAGCTATTGTCAAGTAAAGTTATATGAAATTATTAACCATTACTCTCATTATTATTATATCACACCTTTGTGAGCTTTATGGTTGAAAAAATACACTAATAGAATATATAATTTGAACTAGAATTAGCTATTCTCAAATCAATTATGTCTACCAAAAATAAATTGTGTGGATGGGTACAGAATATTTTTAAATTTATTATATTTTGTTTAAACATTAGTAAAATAAGAAATTTAAAGTATAAGAAGCAAGAATGAATCTAAGAAACAGTTCCCAATAAGTCTTCTGCTTCTAAATACTCAGCAGGAAGAGAATAAAGGCATTTCTATTACACTGAAATACAGTCTCTTATTTAGTATGTAAATTTTTGGCTAGAGAACAAAGATAAAATCTACCATGATATTTAGCAAAATAAAATTAACTGCACAGGATTGGTGAGTGTTTAATTTGCTTACTTTAAAATTAAGTTTTTGGTGGGGTGCAATGGCTCACACCTGTAATCGCAGCACATTGGGAGGCTAAGGTCGAGGGGTATTACTTGAGGTCAGGAGTTCAAGACCAGCCTAACCAATGTGCTAAAACCCTGTCTCTACTAAAAATACAAAACTTAGATGGATGTGGTGGCAGGCACTTGTAATCCCAGCTACTTAGTAATCCTAGTAAAGCAGGAGAATTCCTTCATCCCAGAAGGCGGAGGTTGCCGTGAGCCAAGATTGCACCACTGCACTCCAGCGTAGGCAATCGATTGAGCTCCATCTCAAAAAAAAAAAAAAATTAAAAATACAAGTTTTTAATCTATTTTATTATTTTATATAATAAATTTAGAATTTCCATCCTCTACATATACACACAAGAGAAATACTGCTTATGGTTCAAACTTTCTGATATGCTAAACTTAGAAAAATAATCTAGCAAATTGTATTTTAAGGAGTTTCTTTATTCACAGATTTTTAATTCATGTTTATGGTAGTAAAATATATGACATACCAAAAATATGTATCTGAACAACACACTGAAAAAATTATTTTTTTTTCCAACAGGTTTAACACTGACTATCCTTCATTCAAATGAAAGGAAAGATTTTCTGGAATCTGAAGGTGTTTTAAAGGGGTAAAAATTCATTCCTTTATCTATGAAGAACAAACATACCAGTTTCACAGGAAAAGCAAATCTTTCTAGAATTTGACTTTAAAAATTTAACAAAATCTGAAAATAATCAATGCCTCTATCCTCTTACTGAAAAAATGCTTTATATAGGGCTCTTTAGTTCTGGTCATTGTCCTGTGTATTATATGTTATTAGTGTGCAGAAATTTAATTCAATCTTATTTTAATATCCCCAAATAATAATAAGAATACTGTTATTGTTAGTACAAAAGTGCCTATTTAGAGTATAGTTTTACCAGTTTTTTGCTCGGCATTATTTTTTACCTCTTCTTTCTTTGGGATTCTCCTTCTTCCTAAAGTATGTCCTTTAGAAATTCTTTCAGTGAGGACCTGCTAATCATAAATCGACTGTTGAATTGTGTAAAACTCTTTATTTTGCCTTATTTTACATAGAAATTTTTTTTCAAATATTGGGATACAAATAAAAAAAGATGTAAGTCAAATAGAAGCTCATAAAAACTGGACATAGATACTTTTTAACTTCTAGACTGCCCTAGATAAAAAGCAGTAATAGAGAATTTTAATTACAGTAGGTGGTATGTTTTATGAGATTTGAAAATATTTATGTGACTTTATGAGATAGGAAAGCTAAATTTATGATATTTAAGTGTCCATCTTTTTTGTTGTTGTTAAATCATTTATGAAGCCCATTAAGAAAAACAAATCCCATTTCAAAGTTGTCAGATAATATCCTATTATGTAGATTATCTAAGATTAAGACCTTATATTTGTAAGAAAATGAGACTGATTTTTTCACTTATTTCTGTTATTGATAGTACTCAGGTAGTAAAATCAGGCTGTCTCCCATTTGAGGATATGAAATAGTCTACAGGTTTTTGTATTCAGGTATAAAAATATATGATCATCAATAAGAAAAATATAAAGAAATTAACACAATTGCAGAGCAAATCAACAGAAAATGCACCAGAAAATCAACAGAAAAGTGCCTTTCCAAGATGAGGCATAGATTAGAGAAGGATAGAACAGCCGAAACAGTCATCTTTTAATAGTCCAAGCAAATAATAACACAAGTGTAATGCCATTTTCTTGGCTTTCTTTTGTCTTTAGTACAAGTTCCTGTGTAGTTGTACATAATCAAGATATTGGAGCAGATTTCCCCTGGAATAATTTCTCATTTGTGGTAGAATACAATTATGTGGAAGACTCTTGTTGGACTAAACACTGCAAAGAGTTGAATATTCCTTACACGGCCTTTAAAGTGATTCTTCCAGACACAGTTTTAGAAAGTAAGAATATAAACCAAAATTCTTTTTTTGTTTTCCTTTATAAGAATGAAAATTTTCTATTTTCTGTTTATGATCTACGGATAAAAATAAGCCGTGACATTAGAGGCCTTGAGTTCAACCTCTAACCCCACCACTATCTGTGGCAGTCCTTTAACTGTCTTTTACCTCATAGTCCTCATTTGTAAAGTAAGCTTTACTAATTATATGTTTTCATTCCTTTATCTAACTTCTAAATTTTACTTATAATAGCACAATTTTATTACATTTATACCCAATCTTAATCTGATGGCTCATATACAATAGTGTTTTTTATTGATTTTTAGGGGACAATTGCATAATAGTATGCTGATTCAGAAAATTTTAATATGCAACACAAGTTATCTACGAATACTTAGAAAAAAGTCTAAACCACTTCATATATTTCTTTATTTCTTTGTATTTGTCAGTAACACCTCACATGACTAAGGTTGTGAATTCTCAGATCCATAAATCTGATACATTTTGAGTATAAGATGGACTCAATGTGAAAGTACATCTCTCTCAGTGCTTGCCATCATTTCCTATTCACCTCAAATATGAGTGGGAAGTCTAAATAGATTCTGAGACATTTCAACTCAATTCTAAAAATATGGTCACCATAATGATTTCTTTGGAATTGGAATAATAAATACCTGTTTATATCTTTTGACTATTTTAATCTATTGAGGTATTTATTCTTTTCTTATTGATCTGTTAAATGCTTTCCCTATGGATTATTGCACATAATTTAAAATCTTTATGTAAATCAGTATATTTATATAGTACATGTCCAATATATACTTAAGTGAATAAAGCAAGTTTCAACATTTCAGGTAGAGAGTGACCCTATTTTTTCTTTTCTTTTTTTAAGTGAGTGTACATGTGTGAGTATAAGCTAAAAAAAAATTGAAAAAAGTCTGGAAATATATGCAAAACTCTGTTTTTAGTGTATGGTGGTATTAGTAAACTCTATTAACTTATTTCTAAGTAGGACAGCATGGTTTTTACTTTCCTCTTCTTCAAGCCTGTCTTTATTCTGTTTCTGATTTTTTACACTGAATATTATTTTTATACTACTCCTACTATCCTCATGTTTAGTAAAAAAGAAAGAGCTGGGAAATGAGAATAAAAGAGAAATATTTATAAATTTTCTCTTATTTAGGAAGCACATTGCTAGATAGATTTGGAGGTTTTCTTGTGGAAATTCAGATTCCATATGTGTTTTTTGCATCTGAAGGACTTCTTAATACTCCAGACATACTTCAGCTACTAGAATCCAAGTAAGTTATTGATTTCACAACTTTAACAAAAGTATATATATATATATTCTGATAGGCTAAATATTATGCTGTGTATGTGACTACATGTTTCTGTGATTCAAGCCTGGAATTATATCACAAAAGAATAGTTTTCCAGAGAGTTTATATCAATTTATACTTCTTTCCCTATACCACACCCTCATAATTATTGAATATTATATTTTTTTGGTAATATTTACCAATTTTACAGACAAAAATAATGTTTAATTATTATTTAAATTCATGTTTTACTTGCATTTCTTTTGTTACCAGAAAATATGAACATTTTATATGCTTTTTTCTGTGACTTATGTGTTCATGTCTTTGGGTCATTGATAATATTGAGAATGAGTATTCTTGTTTTGGGAAATTTACTGCCTGGAAAACAGGACTATGAAGTTCTAAATGAATTCTCAAGGTTTTAGGTCTTTAGATCTAAGGTCATGCTAACATTGGACCTTATAAAATTGTAAAATACTTTATCATGACACACAAATTGTCACAGGAATGTTGGACCTTGGGCTGCATATTAAGGAAGGATAATTGTGCCGTTACCTTAGTTAAAATGCAGATGTATGTTCCATGCTTTTAGTTTTATATAGTAAGGCTGTGGAGCATTCATAGAAAACCATGAGCTTATAAAAGGTAGTTAAAGGCATAATGGTATGTGCCTGTAGTATCAGCCACTTGGGAAGCCATGGTGGGAGGTTTTATTGAGCCCAGGAATTCAAGGCTGCAGTGAGCAATGATAACACCACTGCACTCCAGCCTGGGCAACAGAGCTGTCTCTAAAAATAATAACAATATACAGTAATAAAATAAAAAGTGGTTAAAATGTAAGCCATTTTTAAGAAATAAAAAAAGGAAATTCTGATAAATGCAGAATATTTTAGTCCCATAATGTTTTGATTTCATGAATTATTAAAGAGCTGGAATAAATTGGCTAAAACATTTGTAATAGTGTTATGTGCGGTAATATTTAGCACAATGCCTAAGGCAACACACATCTCAGCTGATTTGTTTTATACACTGAATAAATCATAACTTCATTCTTCATATTTTTTTCTTTCTTTTTTTTTTCTTTTTTCTTTTTCTTTTTCTTTTTTCTTTTTTTTCTTTTTTTCCTTTTTTTTTCTTTTTTTTATTCTTTTTTTTCATTCTTCATATTTTGTAAAGCAGAACAAATTGGCATATAAAAGAAGAAGCACAGAAATCCAAATAACATGCAGGAGGACACTACAATTTTTCTTAAATAATTTTTATTAGCATTTCACTTTTTCACTCAAGAATATTGTATTTTACAGCTATAATATCACACTGGTAGAGAGAGGCTGCAGTGAGTCATTGAAACTCTTTGGAAGTTCAGAGCGTTACATAGTGGTGACAATTGATGAACACACTGCCATAATTTTGCAGGTAAAATTAGGTAGAAAAATACAAACTAAAATAGATTAAAATATATAGCTATGTAATTCATTCTTATCTTCCGATAGGAAGCTTAACTATAATCTATTAGTGATTTCTTCTCAATTTTGCAAATGGGCCACAAGTGCTAAAATCATCACTGTGGAAAACGACTATTATCAAATTTCTCTGATGCCTTATAGTTTTTTTTTAAACATACTTTAAGAAGATAGGGCAAATGAATCTTTAATATTATATATTAACCCATTTTAAGTGTATTTATAGAATAATTATAGTATTGAAAGCTCTAAAAAAGCAATTTCCGGCCGGGCGCGGTGGCTCACGCCTGTAATCCCAGCACTTTGGGAGGCCGAGGCGGGTGGATCACGAGGTCAAGAGCTCGAGACCATCCTGGTCAACATGGTGAAACCCCGTCTCTACTAAAAATACAAAAATTAGCTGGGCATGGTGGTGCGTGCCTGTAATCCCAGCTACTCAGGAAGCTGAGGCAGGAGAATCGCCTGAACCCAGGAGGCGGAGGTTGCGGTGAGCCGAGATCGCGCCATTGCACTCCAGCCTGGGTAACAAGAGCGAAACTCCATCTCAAAAAAAAAAAAAAAGCAATTTCCAGTCACTTTATTTATTACAAGGAGAGGGTATATTAATTGATGATTGGTAATATGGAATTTCTAATAACCCATTGCATTTCCAGTGTAAATAGGGGTTGTCTCTAAGTAAGCTGGTTTTTAGAGAGAGAATTTCTCTTCAAAAATTCGTATAGCTAGGAATTTTTGATGTATAAATTCTTGGCTGAATCTCTCTGATATGTTTGCTTGATTGGAGAGGCAATTGCAAAGAAATTAATTTATTGGGGTGGGAGTGGGAGCAGAAACCAGGTTTGATAGTATACAATATAAATATTGCAATATATTAATAGCCAATATGTGTTTTGATAAGCAAATGTTATAATATAAGAATTATATGATAGAAAAACACAACTCTATTAGAGATTTTTAAGAGATACTGTGTCCCGTATATTTAAAGTTCTTAAGCAATATTTTTCTGTTTGGCAAAACTGTTTGTTTGTTTGTTTTTAGAGATAGGGTCTCACACCATTGCCTAACCTGGAGTGCAATGACACAATCATAGCTCACTGCAGCCTCAAACTCCTGGGCTCAAGTGACCCTCCTATCTCAGCCTCCCAAGTAGCTGGGACTACAGGCATGCTCCACCATACCCAGCTAATTTTTTAATTTTTTTGTAGGGACAGTGTTGCGCTATGTTGCCCAAGGTGGTCTTGAACTCTTGGCTTCAAGTAATCCTCTCACTTCAGCCTCCTAAAGTGCTGGGGTTACCTCACTTCAGCCTCCTAAAGTGCTGGGGTTATAGGCATGAGCTACTGTGCCTGGCTGGCAAAACTGTTGTAATCCAGTTATATAACTTTTTGTTAGAGGAATGTCATTTTTTGAATTCCTTAATCTATCAAAAATTACTTATGTTAAAGGAAAAGGAGATTCTATACCATTAGGTAGAGATTCCCAGAAAGTCCATTAACTGCTGCTTTCTCATCTCCCCTGAATAAGCATGCAGTGCACATTATCTCATAGGTTTTAAACATATTTTCTATTGACTTTGGAATGACCAGATAGATCCTAGTCCACAAAAGACTTGCATCCACAAAGGACTAGGATTTGGTTATTCCAAAGGCAATACAAAATTGGACTGGTCTATGGAGTGCCAAAATAGGGGCACTCCATAGGCTACTTTCTTCATATCTAGGAACTTGGGAGATTCATGAGCCTTCCTTGCTGAAGCTATCACTAGATGTTTTATGTCTACTGTAGCTTTTCCCCTACTACTTCCTGTGTGATTTTAATTTTTCCATGAAATGGAAGCCCATACCCATGCCTCTTTCCAACTTACTTATATGTCATAGATTCTTGAAATATGATAAAATAATTTTATAATAATTGCTCAACCTAATGAATTTTTACATGTTCTTTATTTTCTGATAGGATATAGAAGAATTAAATTGTGAGAAGGCATCAGACAATATTATTATGAGGCTGATGGCATTATCATTCCAGTACAGATATTGTTGGATAATTTTATATACCAAAGAAACATTAAATTCAGAGTGGGTAAACATTTCATCCAAAATTATATTCATATTTCTTAAGCATAAGTCCTCTTCTTTGAATGAAAATAGCTATGCAATGTTCTTCTTGCTTATCTAGTTTGCTTTTTTTTTTTTTTTTTTTTGAGACGGAGTTTCACTCTTGTTACCCAGGCTGGAGTGCAATGGCGCGATCTCGGCTCACCGCAACCTCCGCCTCCCGGGTTCAGGCAATTCTCCTGCCTCAGCCTCCTGAGTAGCTGGGATTACAGGCACGCGCCACCATGCCCAGCTAATTTTTTGTATTTTTAGTAGAGACGGGGTTTCACCATGTTGACCAGGATGGTCTCGATCTCTTGACCTCGTGATCCACCCGCCTCGGCCTCCCAAAGTGCTGGGATTACAGGCGTGAGCCACCGCGCCCGGCCCTCTAGTTTGCTTTAAGTCAAGAATTCTCAAGCTGGAGGTATGATTGTAGGAAAACAAATTCGAATTTTGGAGATGATACATGTTTCCCTGGACATTCTATGCAATCCACCCTCCCCCTGCCCCACTCCCTGCCATCTCACTAAGAATTGCTGCTTTAAGTATTTTATTATTTTGTAATTTTGGATTTGTCTGATTTCTGTTTAACTACTGTACTAAGTTTTTTGTATATGTTTATAATCAGGTTGGGATAAGTATAAGTTAGAATATAAGGGTCTAAATACCTTGGTTTTTATTCCTCCTATTAACAAATAACCTCTAGCAAGTGTTTTAGTCTGGTTTTTCTTTTCTGTCAAAACTGAAAAATAATAATTTCAGTCTAAAACCTTAATTCTGAAGAATAACAAAGGGTGTAAAGCATTTTAAGCTTTGAACTTTCTTGTATTTTAAGATTCATCTGGAACTTGGAAGTGTTCTGGATAAATAACTGATTTGGAAATTTTTTAAAGTTGTTTTATATTACTGTCTCCCTATAGCTCTAGTAGTACAGTTGAGGTACAAAGGAGAATAAAAGGAGATTCAAACTTATTTTTACCCAGATTTTCATGAAAATAATGAATTATCTAATACTCTGAGATAGTTTTAAATTCACGTTGTAGAGTGATCATTTATTCACAATAATATAAAATACAACTATTTTCAGACCTCTAGGCATCTCAGATTCATATTTTTAGAGAATTAGAACATTTAGAAAGTATCTTAATCAACTGACCAAATGAGGAAAACTGAAAATACAGAAGAAATTGTTTGAATTATGATAGTGTTCATGCCATTAATTATTGTTGCAGTAAGAGTGTCAGAGGTCCCTGAGACCATATCGAGGTTTGATGGTTTGCCAGGAGGACTCACAGAACTCAGTATATAGCTGTATTCATGGCTATGATTTATTATGGTGCAAGGTTACAAAGCTTATAATGTAAAGTCAGCAAAAGAAAAAAGCTCATGGGGCAAAGTCTAGAGGGAACTAGGAGGAAGCTTCTAAGAGGCCTCTCCTAGTAGAGTCATACAGGATGTGCTTAACTTTCTCAGCAACAAACTCTTATAACACTTGTAAAATTTTGTCTATCAGACCAGCTCACTCGAGACACATTGCCCAGGGTTGTTTTAAGGGCTGGTCAAGTAGGCACCTCTGCCTGGCACTTAATCAAAATTCTAGACTCTAAGAAGCAAAGCAGGTGTTCAACAGAAATTATATTGTCAACAGTTTAGGCACAGTGTTCCTATCAGCCTTTCATATGGAAAGAGCTAATCTGAGAAAGAATCCAAAACAGAGGAAAGAAGAGCCAAGAAATAAAGAGAGCCATTATCCTGATGGCATTGTTTGAGTCCCAGGATCCAACAATGCTTTCCCCTCAACTTCTTAGTAATATAAGCTAGTGATTTCCTCTTTGTTGCTTAGGGTACATAAAGTGGGTAAAGGTAGAAATATCTACCCACATCTACCCACAGTTCAGCACTTACATCTGACCTGCTTTGTAACCACAGAAGGAAAAGAAAAGGATGCTTTTTCTAACAGTTCACAGAAAACTATGGGAAGGATTCTATGTATCCTGGTTCTGGTCATGTGTCCATGTCAGAACCTGTTACTTTGACCAGGGGTATGAGGTATGTAGTATTTTACTTGGCTAGGCTTTGGTCATAAAGCCATCCCTGGAGTCAGTAAAGGGATGATTTAAGTTCTTCCCACAACCCACACCTCCCACAACACACATACCCTTAGCATCCCCTAGGTTTTACAGTATTATTATTATTTTTTTTTTTTTTTTGAGACGGAGTTTCACTCTTGTTACCCAGGCTGGAGTGCAATGGCACGATCTCGGCTCACCGCAACCTCCGCCTCCTGGGTTCAGGCAATTCTCCTGCCTCAGCCTCCTGAGTAGCTGGGATTACAGGCACGCACCACCATGCCCAGCTAATTTTTTGTATTTTTTAGTAGAGACGGGGTTTCACCATGTTGACCAGGATGGTTTCGATCTCTTGACCTCGTGATCCACCCGCCTCGGCCTCCCTAAGTACTGGGATTACAGGCTTGAGCCACCGCGCCCGGCCTACAGTATTATTAAAGAATAGAGATGGAGATGTTTTTTCAAAAATACAGAGTGGGCAAAAAACCTCCACAAATTTGCCACACTAGTATTGTCTTAGCTAGGTTATTCTAAAAATATTATGAAATGTGGAAAATAAAATGAAATTTTAATAATCTGATATCAAATGAATAGAAATATAGTAATATAATTATTTATAGGTATCCGCTTACAGAAAAGACACTTCATCACCTAGCACTGATTTATGCAGCTTTGGTGTCATTTAGGCTAAACTCTGAAGAACTGGATGTAAAGGTATTCTTTTCCTATGTGTTTGTTCATAAGTATCTTTTATAAACCAAAATTAAACTCAAGTGCCCAATGAGAAAAAATGTTAAGCAAATGAGTTAAAAACTGTTTAAAAGCTAAAGAGTAGTTTTCAATTTAATAAGCATCTTACCATTATTCTTTTCCATTATTCTATTCCAAAAGGCTTTAGTTTAAGGAATTTAAAATCATATTTCATATCTTTTTTACTACTCAGATGTTTTCTAAACATTGCAGGATATGAATAAAAATAAATATCCCTTAATTTTAAAATGTTCCTTATGAAAGATGCACTAAGCTTTACCTGCTGTAAATGGAACTCTTATGACATATAATAGTAATATAATATATTGTTAATATACTAGTATAGAGTAATATATTGGTGATTTCTTTTTTTTTTTTTTTTTTTTTTTTGAGGCGGGGTTTCACTCATGTTACCCAGGCTGGAGTGCAATGGCGCGATCTCGGCTCACCACAACCTCCGCCTCCTGGGTTCAGGCAATTCTCCTGCCTCAGCCTCCTGAGTAGCTGGGATTACAGGCACGCACCACCATGCCCAGCTAATTTTTTGTATTTTTAGTAGAGACGGGGTTTCACCATGTTGACCAGGATGGTCTCGATCTCTTGACCTCGTGATCCACCCGCCTCGGCCTCCCAAAGTGCTGGGATTACAGGCTTGAGCCACCGTGCCCGGCCTTATATTGGTGATTTCTAAACAGTATCTTGGTCCCCTTTTTTCAGTGTCCTCTGAAATTTAGACATTTGTCCAAGTTCAGGGCTCATCACTGTTCCGTTATCACATTACATTCTTTCCTTTATGAACTTAGAGATTCCCACAGATTTTGCTTTCATTTCTGAAGTATAATTCTGAAATTTTTCCTGACATTTCTTAAGGTCTGCACCTGTGTTCTAGCAGACTACTGGGAATCTCCACATGAATATCCAACAAGTACCTCAAACTCTACATGTTCAAAACACAACTTTTCATCCTCCCACTCTTAGTTCATGGTATCACTATTCTAATCTAATTAGTAGCTAAATCTTTTTTTTGAGACAAAGTTTCGCTCTTGTTGGCACGATCTTGGCTCACTACAACCTCCACCCCCCAGGTTCAAGCAATTCTCCTGCCTCAGCCTTCCAAATGGCTGGGATTACAGCATGCACCACCGCGCCTGGCTAATTTTTTTGAATTTTTAGTAGAGACAGGGTTTCTCCATGTTGGTCAGGCTGATCTCAAACTCCTGACCTTGGGTGATCCACCCACCTCTGCTTCCCAAAGTGCTGGGATGACAGGTGTGAGCCACTGCACCCGGCCTCTAAATCTTCTTTTTAACTCTGCAGTGTCTCTTTCTACTTCTCTTGCTATTTCCCTAAATGAAGGCCTTCATCACCTCACACTTGAATTTTTAAAGTAGCTTCCTACCTAATCTCCCTTTTTCTACTCTTTCCCCACTTCAATCCATCATATATAGACACCAATTACATTTCCAAAATACAGCTGAGAATATTTCACTCCTAGACTGTAAGCCCTTTGGCAAGGAAACATGTTTATTCATTTCTTTTTTTATTCCTGGAACCTAGCACAATGCCAGATACATAGTAGTCTCTTGATAAAAATTTGCTGTTGATTTGAATTTCTTGCTCAAAGACTTTCCATAGCCTCCTCCACAATGTGGCCTTTAGTGATTCCTTCTTTAACATCATTTTACTCACCATTTACTGAATATGCCTCATTACTGTCACCTCTCAGCCTTTGCACAAACATGCCATTCTGGTCTGCCTTCCCCCAGGAATACTATTCCCCATTCCCTTACCACTAGCTCTCAAAGTTCTACCTGCCTTTCACTGCCCAGTTCAAACACCACTTCCTTTAAGAAATTTGCCCCAATCGTACTCTCTCAGGATACATCATCTCTCCTCCCATTCTCCCACTAATACTTCATATCTTTGTTATAGCATAGGGATATTTATTCATATATCCTCCACCCTGAAGGGTAAGAATAAGGTTTTTGTTATTTGTAAAACCTAGCAGCTAGCATAGTGCTTTGCACAAAGCAAAAACATTGAGGGGAATTCAATCAAATACCACTTGCTAAGAAAATCAACAAATAATCTGTTTGAACTGGAATTCCAGATAATTTTATTTCTGTGCTGCATACTAAACAGAAATAAAATTCTTAGGAATGTTACCTAAATAAGTGAATGACAAATGTAAATTTGTCTCATCTATTCTGGTGAAGTCTTACCACTTATTTAGCCTTACCTTATTTGGTTCTGGTGAAGCCTTACCACTTATTTAGTTCTCTTCCCAGCTCAGGGTAAACCACTACAGGCAAATATGTTTTAGAAGGTTTTTTTCCTCTATACGTGGGGCATATGATATCAGTGAGTGATACTATATTCAAGTACAGCAACTTGGCCCAGGGAGGGCATGATCCAAGGAAGGCATTTGGGGATGAAATAGGCATATTTCCTAGGAGCAGTCCGTTCCAAACAAGTCTATTTCCACCTGGATCAAACTATTCTAAAAGCTTTTCAGGTTTTACATAACAATCTAGAAAGCAGGTCATTTTCTCAATGGACATTGAGAGGCAACTATGGCCAGTTTGCTCTGACTCTATTATCAGTATGTCCTCAGTACTCATAAGCTTCCTGTTTTCCTAACTTGATGACATTGTTGCATTAAAGGAGGTCCTCTGGGCTCATATTATTTTAGAACGTATTGTTGCTTTACCTTACTCTAGTAAAATGGCTTTTGGTCTCTTAGAGCATCAGGACCATTAGCATCTATTTATTTTCAGGCATCTGAAGAACCTAAAAATCAAGGAAGTATTAGGAAGTTTAAGAAAAAAAAATACTGCTAGTAATGTTATGCTAAGTGTTATTCTAATTTTTTAAAAGTTCTGTAATTTTCTATGAACCCTCTTTGCAGGAAAATGCATAAATACACACATGCAAAATTGATAAATACATGTATCAAAACCCAGCAGAGTGCAAGCAGCAGTGAAGCAGGATGGTCTACTTTCTGCTTCCCTGGAAAGGATGAATTTACATCATTTGACAAGCCTATTTTCAAGTTATTTGTTGTTTGTTTGCTTGTTTTTGTTTTTGCAGCCTAAAA